ACTGAACTCCATCAGGGTTTTCCTCCTTTATCTTTTCTTTCATACTTAATTGTATGGCAATGAAGAAACTAAAAGTCTAACAACTCAGAGAAAGAAGAGTTGTCAGACTTTCACTCACCCTTTAGTAAGTGTGTTAGTTGAGTTGGCCGAGTGTGGCTTGGTTTAGTTTCGTGGATTCTTTAAAAATTCAATATAGATATTAAATTGTTTAATAGGCATAGTAGAGTTTATTGCATTTGCTATTTAAGGACAAAAAAGAAGGTGTATTACAGTGTGGTACCATTGCTGTGAAGAGATGTCATATCGGAGGCTGGCTGAACGCTCTGCCCTCCACAGCGTGTTTTAATATTTATGATCTTGTCTTCCGCCTGTGTCCACCTTCACCGTACGTATGCATGCATTTGTACCGAAACAGGTTGAATGTCATTTTTCGTCCGTGGTGATACATTTCCTTCCCGTGTGCTTGTTCATTTGAAGTGACAACTCAGGCTGACAAGTGTCCTTTTTTACCATTAGCAGCTGGGCTCATTACACCGTCCTGTGCAGAGTCGGAGAACAGGGAGAGAGGAGACCAGCACTGTGTGTGAGCGTCCACAAATAGCTCTCCATGTGGCTGGCGTGAGGGTTTTTAAAAACTCACGTAAAAGCGGTGAGCAGCACGAGCTGTGGGGGTGCCCTTTGCCTGCAGCAGGGAACCCAGAGCCCAAGGAGGCCTTTTCTTTTCTTTTTTTTTTTTGACACACAAGTGGAACTTTGATGAATGAGCTTTAATTTCTTTTTCTCTTTCTTCTTTAACTCAGGGAAGGAAACCTTTAAGATTACAGTACAGGAAAGGATCTGTTCTCTCACACAGAAAACATCAATTAGTTGTGTTCCCAGGTACCAGGTTTCAAAAACCATCGAAATTGGGGAACAAGTAAAGATACATTTTTCTCAATATGAGATCTCAGATGCAATTAAAAAAAAAACCTTTTAGACCCTTTGTAAACTTGCTGGCATTGAGATAACCACATTTTGTTCATTACTACCTGGGAAGTTTTCCGGCAAGGCCAACTCCCATTGCAGACTGGTGACTGTGTACAATAAGCATTTTTAATTAAAAGTTCCCCCAGTTTGGGGCCGAATCTGTAAACATGTGGCGGATTGATCTAGCACATCCAAGCACCACTGGCGCTTTGGGGGAAAGCTGGCTCTTTAAAGAGTTGGATGGTCGAGCTGAGTACACCCCAGCTGTGTTTTACTTAGCACGCACCAATCAGAGTGCTTTGACTCCCTTTTCGTCTTCCTCCGCGCACCCAGTGGTGAGTGGGTTGCCTGCCCACCGTCCCCCGGCCCTTCTCCAGCGTCTGTCCAGACTGGGACGTGAGTGAAAGCAGGTAGAGAGCACCAGAAAGCCTTTCCCTTCCTCCTAGTTTATCTCTTAAACAGGTCAGAAGCAGCGCGTAATCTCCATCTACAAAGCAGTTACAATTTGAACGCTTACCTGTCACATTAGGAGTCTTGGAGTTTACACAGAAGTCAAGGTTGTCCGCCAACCTTCAAACAAAAACGTAAAATATATGGTGTTCCCGAGTTAGAACTAAAAGTGCTTCTGGGAAGCAGTTTCTAGACTAAAGTGAGAACAGTCAACTTGGAGCCCTGAATCACCCTTACCTGGAGCCTGCGGTTTCGGGGTAGGGGTGTGGGGTGTTCGGGGGAGAGGCTGGCCAGTAGTCGAGGGATTCACAGTGTCCACTCTCCAGGTCAGGCCCTTGCTGAAGGCCATTATCTAATTGGACTGGAAAGAATGGTTTAAACTTTTATTATTCTCTCAGTAAATCCACATTCTGCTTTCCATTAGAGAGGTAAACTGCCATACAAACTGCTAAAACTCGGTAATTGGCAGGTCTGAGAAAATCAGCTCTGTAGGTCCAGGAGGTGGTAAACGTGATTTAGAGGGGACTTGAGATCACTGATGCTGCCACACAGAAGTCTTTGCACAGACAATGCCCTCCCCACCCCGTCCCCCCACCCTCACTCCCCAGCCATTCCCAGGCGGCTTCATCTTCCTGCTTCCTGTAACCTCGCTTCTCTGGGAGTTAATTCTGTCTTCTCTGAGATGCTTTCTGCCCAGTACAGGAAGGGCTCGCTTATTTATTCAGCAGTGATGTTGAACGTATTAGTGACTTCAGTGCTCAGTTCACCGTGTGGGCGGAAGTATGGGCATACATACATAGCAGTCCATACGTAAATGCCGAACAGTAGGAGATTCCCAGCTCTATTAATAACTGCTGTTTCAGTAACTTGGAGGAGTTTTGAATTCCAATTCCAGAAGGCTTGGTTGCAAAAGCTGTTGATAGCTATGTTTGGAAGTTAGACCTGAATATTGAAATGAAATTTGCTCAGCATTGGAAATAAGGTGAATAAAGAATTTTATCCAACTTTGTCCAAAAGAAAAAAGAATGTGTAACCCAGATCATGTAAAATCATACCTAGAAACGTCAAACCAGGATAAGCACAGTGCAGGAAAGAGAGCAGACGTGGGAGAAAGAGCAGGCTTGCAGTTGGGATGCGGCAGTTACCTCCTGTACAGTGCAGGGAGAGAGGTAGATGAAGCGAGGTGAGGCTTCGCAGCTTGGTCCCCTGGTAGAGTGAAGACATTCTCCTCCACCCCAGGTTGCCTCAGTTTTTTCCTACAGCCTTTGCCTCAGAGAAATTGTTCACGGACATGGGTAGGGGCCTTGCCATCCCTTTCTTTAGGCCTTAAAACAGGCAAGCTTGCTGAGCTTGCTCCTCAGTCCTTCAAGCCAAGGCTTCTCTCAGCCTCCGCCTCCCGCTCTAATCTCTAGTCTCCGGCTGGGTGTGGCGCCATGGCGACAGGCCCCGCCCAGAGCCCAGGAACCCTGTTTGTGTTACCTGCGGCGTGGAGCAGCCTGGGGAAGAGAAGAGGGAGCCTCACCTGTTTTGCCGTCTGTCTGGAAGATGACTTCGTGTTCTGTCGTCTTTCTCTTCTATTGAGGACTTGAAATCACGCCTGGAAAACATCGATCCAAAGATGTTGTCAGTGACCGAAGGCAGCAGGGAGACCGTCTTCTAAGCAGAGAGGTGTTTTCTGAGCTGTAGTTCAGACGGGGCTGCACCGTGAAGTGCGGCTCCGCTATGCTCTGGGGCTGTACTGCTAGGTGGCTACACAGTTGCTTCATGTAGGTAGACGTTTATTTTGTTTGAAATAAAATTAGTTCCTGTTGGAGACTGTTTTCCTAGAGAATTTTAAAAATAAAAGTGAGCCCTCGGGCGTACCTCCTTCTATTTGAAGTAAGCCTTTCTCTGTTCGGTCCCGAGTGAGGGTGCAATCCCAGAGCTTGAGACGCGTTCCCTCCCCCACTCCCCGGGGGCAGGGGCTGGAGTTGCTGTTCTCTCTGTTTCAGGAAGATTGCAGCGTCCTGGTGCCTCAGCCAGGCTTCCCGTGAAGCACATTGGGAAAGGTCGTATGGTAATTACATGAAAGTAAAACAGTTTTAGCATTTCGATATTTGTAGTTGCGCCGTCTTTGCAGTATATAACATGGCATTGTCTCATCCAGCAGAACAAAAGGAAATCAATGTGGAGCTGTTACGTTGTTATATTTTTATGTACAAGCATTAGGTGGCTTTTGTGCATATTTTGTATTATCAATAGGGAATATAAGTATTGGCTTTTCGACCTTAACAGGACTGCTGAGTATCAGAGTGTGCCTTTGCTGGTCCGGACATCAAGTGGTGGCTGGCATTTGTGTGGGGAGAGAAGAATGGGGCAAAACCTATTGCTTACGAGGCTGCTTACTGTCTGAAGTTTGAGTAAATGATGTTACGGTGGACACAGAGAGAGCAGCCTTTAATGCCACTTTCCTACATATCGTTACTTCCTAATGTAACCGAAAGCTGCTCTGGCATCAAGTATTTCAGCTCCTTTTCAGGTGAACGGGGTTGTTCCAAGCAAATGAATGAAGCTGGTTCTTTAATGTGCTCTACAAAAACAAGTGCCCTCACACTGGACATCTCTTTTCATCCCTACCACTAGGTATTTGTGCTGGAAATACACAAACATATTTCATTCTGGGTGTTTCGGTCTGTAAATACTGTCATTATTGAGTAAAACTGCATGGCTATCCATCGCTGGATTTGAAAGCATGGTGCTTTCTATTCTTCGAGTTTGTTAATTCGTCCGAGGGAAAAGCAGTGAAGTTCTAGCTCTTCCAGGGGTGAGATTCCCAGCCTCCTTTTTTCAGCAGCTAGGAAAGAAAACCAGGCAGGGTGCCCGAGAGGTGCTGACCAAGAAGTCTTCTTCTAGATGAGCGTTGGAACGTTTCCTTTGTGGGTGGGAGGTTTCTTAAGGCATTTCATTCTTTATTCATATTTATACAGTACAGCAGGGAGAGAACCAAAAGGCTGCCACAAAAGAATGTCATATTGAGATGGAAATCAGACCTTTTTGAAAGGCAGGGTCTTGTACCGAAAGGCATGGCTTTGACTCTGTGTGTGTATGTTTTTGTTCTTCCAAAGCAGAAAGAAACAGAATGAGGATTTAGCCACCATTATTCTGTCAGCGATAGGAGAGGCTAGAGCTACAGTGTGAGAAAGAGAAATCATATGTCTTTGGATAATACCTTTGCATCAATAAGAATATGCAAGACAACCTCGGATAGTACCTGTTTGTCCACCTCCGAGCAGGTGTGAGGATAAAAACAAACGTCGGTACTGGTGGAGGTTCGCGCTCCCTTGGGACTAGTAAAAGTACAGTATGTTTCGTGCCTTAATGAGGGAGAAGGTGTGTGTGCGTGCACACACACGTGTAAGGTCGATGCGGGCCACACGCCCATGGCCACCAGTACTCTTATTAAAGACGAGCTGCTGACTGGCTCCTCATTTACCGTTTTTGCAGCCGTGTATGCATTTCCTGTCAGCCTCCATTGTGTCGGACGTTGATTCATTGTTTTGCTGGCCAAGTGGTCACACTGTCTGACGTCCCCTTCTCTCTCTGAGGTCCCGCGGGCTGCCCAAACTGAAAGAGTCCCGCTCCCACGAGTCCCTGCTGAGCCCGTGCAGCGCGGTGGAGTGCCTGGACCTGGGCCGGGGCGAGCCCGTCGCGGTCAAGCCGCTGCACAGCAGCATCCTCGGGCAGGACTTCTGCTTCGAGGTAAAGGAGCAGGGGAGGGAGGGAGGGAGAGTGTGGAGCAGCAGGCAGGTTCTCCACCCAGCAGTGCTGTGATTTCATGCCTGTGGTATTGATTCGATCATCTTACTGGTTTTCAGGTATTGAAAATTACCTGCTTACAGGGAAAAGTTTTGGAAGTCTATTAATCTAATTACATCGCTGATTCAAGTTATTAATGATGGCTTCTCATTCCTTTTGGCTTTCCAAATAAACGGGTTCTCAGTACAGTCTCAGCAGAGCTCGAAAGACTTAGCAATAACATTAAGTGAGTATTTCAATTTTTTAAAAATTGATAAAGGTAACAAACACTGTTTTTCTCCTAAAAACCTAAGACCCCAATTTTAATAATCCTTTGAGAAAATTGACCAAAATGTAATTTTTCTAACGACAACACGGGCAGTTTAAGATCTGGAACCGCCTTTTATTTATTTTCGGAATCCCCTGCTCCTCGCCCAAGCCCTGGTACATTGCAGGTGCCTAATTTCTTAAAGGAACAGATTTGCCCTTAACTGTTTCAACATGCAACTAATATAAAAAGTATCAATGAGATTTTTTAAAATTCTTTTCTGTGGGGATACCAAGTCTTTGAAATGTACCTTTAACACTTAGAGCTCATCTCAGCCTAGACCCATTTTGGATCCTCACTAGTCATGTGTGGCTAGTAGCCACCGTATTAGATCAGAATATATAATCTGAGTTAATTCACCAGGTTGTAACCCGAGATTGACTCAATATGTGAGCACACTTAGCACTGTGGACTGGTCATTTGTTCGTGTTCTTTTTATTAAGTCACTTGAAGGTTCCTGTGTTTTGGGACCTCATATCCACAGACCGCGCGCCACGCCCAGGGTGAGGTGCTAGACACACAGATAACACGTCTCATTTTCAAAGGACAGGGATAGTAGTGTTCAGGTTAAAGACTGGAAATCACCAGGTGGGTTCGTAGTGGAGGAGAAATGGGTTCCATAGACAGTAATCAGATACTGGTCACTCTTCTCAATTTCGTGTAGTGCCTTCTCATAACAGTACCGTGCGGGCGGTCCCAGAACCTGGGTGAGCTCTTTCAGAGACCTGCTTCCCTTTGACTCGCTCGGAGCTGGGCATATGCATTTGCGGGTAATTTGTGTCCCGAAAGGATTTTAATTTCAGTCCTTCTGAACAGCTTTAGGTTCCTGAGCTGAATTCTCAGTGGTCTTTGCTCTCACACCCGGAGATGAGTAAGGACGCAAAGCAAAAAGTGGATGGAGGTGTAGATGCAGAAATCCCAAAGCTGGCAGGCGCCACTTGGATTTCGTGTAGTGTGACTCGCATCCATGGCATCTCCCTGACCCCCAAATGATACACCGAGGAGACCAGAGCCCCCAGGTGCTCTGCGTTCTTTTCCTCATTACCTCCGACTTTGTGTTGAAGGTCACCTACCTGAGTGGAAGCAAATGCTTCAGCTGCAACTCCGCCTCGGAGCGAGACAAGTGGATGGAAAACCTCCGCAGGACAGTCCAACCCAACAAGGTAACGGTGGCTCTGAGCGTCCAAAACACGCGTAACTCCTCAAGCAGTGACTGATAGAAGATAAATGCAGTGATGAGACCTTAATTTTTATAGACCTTTTCCAATACATTTGCCATTTCAAACATATGATGCCCTTTTATGCCAAAAACAACCTTATCTCAGATCTTACTGTGATTTTCCCGGTGTGAATGAGAAGGCCCAGAGAAGTCGAGCGAGTTGCCCACTCAGAAGTTAGTACGTAATAGAAATGGGGCCAGAACTAGTTTCTTAACTACTGACCTTTTACTTGTAGACGTCAGTCCAGCACAAGGAGACTAGGCCAGTTTGGGGGGCGTGGGAGACGTCACGTCCACGCTTCTCTTTCCCCCTTCCTCTCTCTGAGAGCAATGAAAACATGTCCTCGGGTGAGGGTGGAAAAAAAGGAAAATACTGTCTTTCTGAGATTTCAGCTCTCAAACTCAGCTGTGTTACTTTTTTCTAGGACAACTGCAGGAGAGCTGAAAATGTTCTCCGTTTATGGATCATCGAAGCCAAGGACCTCGCCCCTAAAAAGAAATATTTCTGTGAACTGTGCCTTGATGATACCCTCTTTGCCCGGACAACCAGCAAGACCAAAGCAGACAATATTTTCTGGGGTGAACATTTTGAATTCTACAGTCTTCCACCTCTCCATAGCATCACCGTTCACATTTACAAAGATGTGGAAAAAAAGAAAAAAAAGGACAAGAATAATTACGTGGGGCTAGTCAACATCCCCACTGCCAGTGTGACTGGGCGCCAGTTCGTGGAAAAGTGGTACCCAGTGAGCACGCCCACACCCAACAAAGGAAAGACGGGGGGGCCTTCAATTCGGATTAAATCGCGCTTCCAAACTATCACCATTCTGCCTATGGAGCAATACAAAGAATTTGCGGAATTCGTCACCAGCAACTACACCATGCTGTGCTCCGTCCTTGAGCCAGTAATCAGTGTGAGGAATAAAGAGGAGTTGGCATGTGCCTTAGTCCACATTCTTCAAAGCACTGGGCGGGCCAAGGTGAGTGGGGAGGGGGGAGCACGTTCCCCCAACTCTCCTCCGCACCTTTTATGGGGGAACCAAGATCCCAGCTCCAGAAAGACCCGTTGCTGGTGGTCAAGTAAGAAGAAAAGCGGTAAGAAGGAAACCTGATAGCAGATCTTAGATGGAGAAAAGGTGGTGATTATAAAACTAAAGCAGTAAAATGGAGAGGCCACAGATATCTGTTTCAGGTTCATTTGCATTGAAGATAGATCCCACAGCACGTTCGTTACCGTCGGACAAAATACGGGGTAGAACTGGCGTGATAACCCCACAGGGCGTTCACGATTGTTTACGTGCGGTTCAGGCGTGTGCCCAGTGTGGTGTCACCCCTCACAGTGCCCTGTCTAAGTTCAGAGTAACTGGTGACACATCCCCGGGTATTAATTAGTAGGCATCTTCATGGGATTAAAATTTATATTGGGAACAAAAAATACCAGCAGATGTTATATAATTGGTCTCATATGACCCTTCTTTTATTTCATCCTGGAAAGAAGTAAAACTTTAGGAGGATGAAAAAAGAGAAATCAGCTAATTGTGTGAAGAACCACCACCGAAGGGTGGCCTCGGCCCAACCTGCCCTGGGGTGATGACCACCTCTGTGCGGTGCACTCACTACCTAGGCTGAGTCGCTGTGCCGTGCACGGGGGCTGGTAAAACTGTGTTGCAGACCCAGAGGAGCTCAGAGAGAGAACAGTTGATTTAGAACTTCACAGCAAAATAAAGTGTTATTAAGATTTCTGGACATAAATCAGAATATGTCAGTATATTCAACGTTTAGTCCCTTATCTAACTGCCTTTCTGTTGATTATAATTTTTGGCGTTATAATCTGGCATTTTGATGCCAGAGCTTTCTGGCATTAAAAAAGCTTAAGAATTTGGGGGCAGGGAGTGTCATTGAAATTTTGAGTGTCGTGTTTGAAATGGTATGGACATGTTCTTCTTGCTTTTCAGTTGCTCCAAGTTCAGGGTATATGAAGGGCTTTTTAAACAATGTCATTGAAGTGTAACTTGCATACAGTAAACTGGACCCATTTAAAGTGAAAAATTGAATGATTTTTGCAAGATAATGTTCCCGCTGAATCCTCCAGCACTATCAAGATACAGAATGTTAGCACCACCCTCGGGTCTCCCCCTGCCCCTCAGCCTGGGAGTTTTCCTGCTGATTCCGGAGCCCGTAACTCCTTTCACGTGGCTCAGGCGCCCCAGAGGCATTTCCGTGACTGTTTAAAACGCTTAATTCTAAAGTAAATCAGTATAGTTCCTGGTTTTGGATTTTAGAGACTTCCATATATCCAATAAACATACAACATTCAAAGTCCTTGATGTTATAAACTTTCACACTGAACAGTACACTTTGAATCTTACATCAGATTCTTTAAGACCGTGGAGAAATGAAGCAACTATTTCTTAAGAACTTTATTTCTCACTTTGCCTTCCTTCTCCATGGACGATGGGTTGGGGGTGGGGGGCAGGTCACAGCCAGATTGCCTAGAAAACAAGTTTAGGTGTTGAGTTCAAGAAATTCCACGTTGAAACTGTGGACCAATGTGTGGCTGTTGGATATTGAATACCTAACATGTGCAGAAATGTTAAGTGCTTAAAACTATAGAGATAAACAAAATTAGACACCGTCTTTGACCTCATGGGCCTTACAGTCTTTGGGAGGAAATAGATGTTAATCAGGTAATTACAGAAATAGTGTGATTACAGTGTGAAGTGCCAAGATGCACACTGTGAAGTACGGATTAAGGGGGCCTGACTCCTGGGGTTTGGGTCAGAGGAGGCTTCACCGGGGAAAGGGTGTGTGAACTAAAACCCAGAAGATCCGGGGGATTAGCTGTATGACAGGCAGAGCAGGAATGATGGGGGGAGTGAAGCAGAACTGGGCACAGCATTTACACAAGCTTTGTGGTGAACAGACAGCGTACAGTGTGGGGAAAGGCATGGTGTGTTCGAGTACCTACCGGGAAGGCCCTTGAGGCCGGAGCAGAATGCAGAGAGAATGGCACAAGATAAGGCTTAGAAAGTAGACAGGAACCAAGACGCGTGGAGACTTGTAGGCTGCGCTCAGAATTGTGGTCTTTATCCAAAGTGCAATGGAAAAATCTGTGAAGGACTTTCACACGTAGGGGCAGTGACCCCTGAGATTTTATCTGACCTTGTTCTTTCACAGCGGTCTGGTAGTGTTGGTTTTAAAGCAGGATTCCCAGGGCGTCTGGGGTTTCATCAGTCTCTTCCGACGTGTGTTGTTTATTCAGTTGCTTTCTGCCTGATTGAACATTATCCCACCAGGATTTTCTGACCGACTTGGTGATGTCTGAGGTGGACCGCTGCGGAGAGCATGACGTCTTGATCTTCAGAGAGAACACCATCGCCACCAAGTCCATCGAGGAGTACCTCAAGTTGGTGGGGCAGCAGTACCTTCATGATGCACTGGGTATGGAGAAGGAACCGTGTTTTCTTTTCTTCCCCTTTCGATTGTACGTTATCTCATCCTCGTGAGACAGACGAGTTGAGCTTCTGTGCACTGTTTAGGTCGAGGGGACTGGAGTATCCAAGTTTGAGTTTCAGCTTGGGCAAGTCTCAGCAGTGCTCCCCAGTGGCGGGGCAGCAGTGGGTTTATTACGCCTGTACAGAAGGAGGAAGCCCATCAGGATATGAATTCCCACCCCCCAATCCGTCAAGAGTCTGAGAAACTCAGTAGTGTTAGTGGGTATCACTTCTGAGGGTGTCCCGTTTCCCTAAAAGTGTCAGGTATTTATATCATGATGCAAACACATTGTCTTGAATATTCGTCATCATGCATCAAAAACTAAGAAACTCTTGCCAAGTCCCACCACAACTCTCGGTTTCTGTCTTCAGGGCCTCCAGAATTGTCAACAGCAACTGATTTTTGTTCACTCAGTGGTTCCTGCTGACTGGGCCACCCACTCGCAGGTCCGGATTCACTCACGAAATCCAGGCGTCAACCACTAGAGTCAGGCTCTGTGCTGGGCCCCTCGGGGCCCGTCGTGGTAACACGGATGGGAGTTCCTGGAGGGGCACCGTCATTTCTTCCACCTCCGTAGCCCTGTGCTTCACCCAGAATGCAGACCCGCTCTGTCCTACAGCAGCACAGTGGAGTCACCTGTGACTAACTGAAATTTTCTAGTCATCACAAATGAAATTCCGTTTAATAACCCATTGTATCCAACCCATTGTATCCAAATATTAACAGCTAATCAGTATAAACAGTATGCATGGGGTATTTTACTTTTTTCATACTATTTGAAACTCGGTGTGTGTTTTACATTTGTTGCACATTTCAGTTTGCACCGGCTACATGTTCAGTGTCTTAGGTGACCATCAGGAGCAGACCATGAAATATGTTGAATGAGTGAATATTCTTTGCCCTCAAGGAGCTTACCGTATAGGGAGATCAGAAGAATAAGGATATCCCTATGACCAAAAAAGGAGAGAAACCCTGTGCTTTTCCAAATAATTAAAGGAATTGGTTCTAACCGATACAGAGGCAAGTGCCTCTAATAATATGGTTGAAGTTTTCATAATAAGCATTAAATAAAATAAAAAAGACTTTATAGTGAAGTCTCAGTACCAAAAATGCTTTAAACTAATAAGTACAGCTGAGTACTCCGAGTAAAAGCTTTGCCATATTTCATACCCAAAAGATATGAAATGCTGTTTTTAGAGATGCTATTTCCAGACTACTTAAAGAATTCTCAGAGAAAACGGCCACCTCATGTGATCTCCTCTTCTCTGGACTGAAGCATCACTGTTCAGTGCACAGGCTCCGCCCGCATTAGACTGAAACCTCCCATCCGGGAGCCCCCATTCCCTCTCTGACGAACGCAGATCACAGCTGATGTCCCGCAACACACGGGACATACCGCCTGTGAGACCCAGAAAGAGGTTCCTGAAAAGGCCTGATTTCCGTCCTTGGTGGCAGAAGCAAACTCTTTTTTAGCAGGAGTATGTTCATACCTGTTGACTTATTTCTGTACATGAAATTTGGATAGTAATGAGTTGGCGATTTACACAGGAAACACACAGAACATTCTGGACACAGACTTCCATCTGGACCGCATAGTGAGCACCCATCCCCTGTGGCTCTGACCTCTTTCTAAGGCAAGAGCGAAAATGTACCGTATTTTGCCGTGTAGAGTGCACACTTTTTTGCCCAAATTTTTGAGGGAAAAATAAGGATGCACGTTACACATGGGTATAATGTATAATAATGCCCACGCACACTAAAACCATAGTGCACATTATACACGGTGGAATATGGTGAATGGATTATTGAATCTGTCTCAGTAATTTTTGATTGGATAAGCACCTTCTGGGTACAAACCTATAAAAGTTTACCCGTTAGTATGATGCAGATTATAGTTTCAAAAGTGAAAATAATGTGCTCTGTTGTTGAGGATTATAAATATATCATAACCAGGGGACAAAAATTTAGACTGCAATTATAGACAGATTCCTGCCAGACTCTTGAGTTATTTGGCTCTTTTCTTGAGGGATAAAATAAAAATACCCTTAACATTTACAAATTATTTATTAACATTAGTATTATTTCACCAGAATTGGTGTAACCTAAGGAACTCACTAAACGGAATATTTATAACATAAATTTAAAGGTGGGTCCGTTTTTACATGGAATGCTTGACAACGATGATTTGATTTAAAATGTAGGTACTCTTCAAGTGGGATAAATTGTGTAGAAGCACATAGCACAGGAGACTTTGAGAGCATGTCAAATACAAATCTTGTGCGAATCGGTAAACATTGTTAAAAGCTCTTACTAGTTTTAGTTGTTTTACTCTGTGAAAAGTTACGTTAAAGCCGTCTCATCGGTACATACACGCGTACTGTGTGGGGCACCTACGGGGGGCCAGAGACCACGTCAGACCCCTTCCTTTAATGCGTTCCTGCTGGTCCTCACCGCAGCTCCGCAGGGCCGGAGTTACGCTATTTTCCAAATGTGGCACCTGAAGCTGAGACTGGCTGAGTGACTTCTCAAAGGCCCACAGTCAGTAAGTGACGGGCCTAGGATTCGATCCTCCATCGGTCTGGCTCCAGAGCCTTGACTTGCCAGTACAACACTTTGTTTCTCTGTCCCCGTGCACTTTTCTGTCAAATAACCACGGCCCGTCCTCTGTCACAGCTACTTTTAAAGCTTTCCTTTACCTCAGCACTAACCGTCTTGCTAGAAAATGCTCTTTGTATCACTGCTACTGCTGCTGCTACTTAGTTTGGCAGACTTCCCTGTTTACTTTCATAAAGTCCGTTGTAACTAGCCTGGACCTGAAGTGAGATTAGCAGTTTGAAAGGGTCTTTGAAATAGCTGCTCTTTCCTAAAGGCCTATAAAAGCCCAAGAACACACGCTACCGGCACGTAGATACGTACCGAGCACCTGCAGTGCTTTGGGTGCTACTTCATAGGCCAGAGTCTGAACTCGAGTAGAACCGGTCCCCGACCTCCAGAGGTGGTGCGAACAAATAAACACAACACCGTGTGCAACACGGAACAATAGAATATGCACAGGGGCAATGGAGGACCAACAGGTAGCTAAGGGTTCTCTCAGAGAACGTTGGGCTTGTGCCTACAGGGCAGGGGTGTCAAACTCATTTTCACCGGGGGCCACATCAGCCTCCCAGTTGCCTTCGAAGGGCCGGGTCTAATTTTAGGACTGTAGAAATGTAACTACTTCTTAACAGTTAAGGGAGAGCTCCGTACTGCTACCGTGTAGAAACAAGGTGCTGGGCTGGATAAAACAAGGTAGAGGGCCGGATTCAGCTCGCGGGCCTTGTGTCTGCCACCTGTGCTGTAGAAGACCAGATATATGAACAGGTCTTCTAAGCTAAATCTATTTGGGAAAATATGTACAGATTATAGAAGAGATGTTCTGCTACAGTTGAATGACCGTCCCCATTACAAGAGGTAGGGTCTATATTCAGCCTTCCTCAAATATAGGTTTGGTACCAGCATGAGCACTTAAAACCTTAGGCGAGCTATTCAATCTTGGGGTATTTTTTTCCTTCTATGATAATAATATTATCCACCCTGGTAGAGAGGCTTTATAATAAATAATGAGCCCATGCTCATTTATTTGTGTCTCAGATAAAAGATTTGAAGTCACTTCATTGTTTAAAGTAGAATCATTGTTATTTTTATCAATACCATGGTGACTCTGTGAGTGATTGCTGTTCTTCCCCCTTCCAGGACAAAGAAAATAAACATAACCGGTGGGAGGTGGGAACCCTCGGGTTCCAAAGTAACAGCCCTTCCTGGGCAGTCTTTTGTACCTTCCCTGTCCGGTCTCAGAGAGAGTCTCCATTATGCACGTAAGGACAGAAGTCCCAGGTCCTTTTGTTCTGTTTCAGGAAGACACTATTTATAGTTCTGCTACCTGCCGTTTCTCTTCAAATAGGGGAGTTCATCAAGGCTCTGTATGAGTCGGACGAGAACTGCGAAGTGGACCCCAGCAAATGTTCGTCCAGCGAGCTGCTGGACCACCAGAGCAACCTGAAGATGTGCTGCGAGCTGGCTTTCTGCAAGATCATCAACTCTTACTGGTGAGCTGGTGTCAGCGCCTCCCGCACCGAGGATGGGGCTTTCATTTCCTAGATCAAAGTCATCACAGTGTTAACTGTTATTTCCCAACAGAAAGGGCGTAGGAGGGGAAAGGAAGCTTCCCTATCACGGTCCTGCCTAAAATCTGAATCTCTCCATAAGCAGGAAAATCTCAGATTTATCTGCATAAATGTGATGTTTATGTAGAATATTAGCACCACGTTCTTCTAATAGTGAAAGTATTATAATGGCCCTCTAAAATATTCACTGGTGTTAAACAGATACGTTAGTTCTTTTGGTCATTGTCCCAACCCTAGAAATTGGTGAGATTTGGGACTATTTTTTTAAGATTTTATTTATTTATCTTTAGAGGGGAAGAGAAGGAAAGAGGGAGAGAATATCAATGTATGGTTGCCTCTCGTGTGTTCCCTGCTGGGAACTGGCCTGCAACCCAGGCATGTGCCCTGGGTGGAAATCAAAACAAGACCGCGATCCCTTGGTTTGCAGGCCCGCGCTCAATCTACTGAGCTACACCAGCCAGGGCTTGGGACAATTTTTGATGAACAGTCTTTAGCGAGATTATGGTGATCTTTACTAAACAGATGGTATCGCCGGGAGCCTCATGCCATTTTCCCACTTCACAAAACTAAATTTACACTAATTCCTGAGTTTTACAGCTTTGGGTTTCCAGTCTCCATCTGGGCCTCTGCGAATTTTCCGCCACCTCTGGGCTGTGACTCAGGCGGAGCTCTCCCCCGAGCTCCCTCATCGCCTGGCTCCAGAGCAGAGGCGTGCTGGGCCAGAGTGAGATCGCCTGCACTTTCTCGGCTCCTGTTTAGAGGTTTCGACCTTCTGCCTCCCCCAGCGTCTTCCCCCGGGAGCTGAAAGAAGTGTTCGCATCCTGGAAGCAGCAGTGCCTGACACGTGGCAAGCAGGACATCAGTGAGCGGCTCATCAGCGCCTCGCTGTTCCTGCGCTTCCTCTGCCCAGCCATCATGTCTCCCAGCCTCTTCAACCTCATGCAGGAGTATCCCGACGACCGCACGTCTCGGACGCTGACCCTGATCGCCAAGGTCATTCAGAACCTGGCTAACTTTGCCAAGTAGGTGTCACTGCCTTAACCACTTATTAAAAGACATTGTGTAAAAAATGCATGAGGTCTAGAAGTTAGGTGGGGGTGCAGAGCCCCCAGCACTCGTGTTACAGGGTCTTCATTGGGGTGTCATTAAAGTGGCAGACAAAATTGGGAACAACTTCAATACTCACGTTATAGAGGGAGGGTCGAGTGAAGCTAGGGTGCAGGCATTCAGGGGGGCCTTCGCAGCCACCACACACAGTGTTTACGAAGAAAAGCCGATAATATGGAAAATGACGGAGATATAACCATGTTAGATGAAAGGGGCTGTTAGAAACCTTAGCCCCTTCGAACAAGCCAATGTCATGAAACACGGAAAAGAGGGAGGGGGACTATTGTGTATTAAAAGAGACTAGTTGTGATGCTTGGGTCTTATTTGGACCTGAACTGGGAAAAAGTCCATAAAAGTCCATTTGGGGACAATTAGTGGAATTTCATTTTAAGCTTTAATACGATAATGACATTGGTTTATGTAAGAGATATTCCTTATTCTGGAGCAGTGGTGGCTAATATATTTAGAGGTTATGTCTGCAACTTAGTTTAAAATGGTTCAGCCCCCCAAAAAATGTATATATAGAGAGAGTGAAAGCAAACTTGGCAAAATGTTAACAGTTGGTTAATGTAGATGAAGACATATGGTTGTTCATTGTATATTCTTTCAACTCTTGGTAGATTTAAACCTTTCTTAAAGGACATTGGAAAGCGGTCGGAGAAAATGCACCCAAATGTAAATAGCAGATATATTTGAGTGACAGAGTGGGTACACCCATACTTTTTTCTTTGTGCTTTTGTTGTTTTCAAATTTTTTTCAGTTTATATAATTTTTATAAAGCATAGAAAATAATGTTAAGACATCACTGAGAGGGAGTTCACACTGGCAAATTTGACCACAACAGACTCAGTCAGCGGTGAAGCTTGAAGACGAGATTATGTTAGCAATGCAGTGAAGGAGAAACCGGAGCTTCAGCGAGACCGGCTGTTTTCTGGGTTAAACAGTGGCTTTTTAGAAGTGCACAGTTGTAATTTTGTGTATCCTGCACATGAGCCAGTGCAGAAATAAACATATGTGGCCATGTTTGAGCTAATTTTGTTAAACATTCTTTCTGGTTTATTTTGGAACAAGTTTTATGAACTTAAATTAGGCCCTAAGGTGCAGGTGGCACACACCAGGCCTGCGGGCCGAATCCGGCCCTCCGCCTTGTTGTATGCAGCCGGGCACCTTGTTTCTGGCCGAGCTCCTTGCCCCTAGTTAAGGAGTAGTTACATTTACACAGTCCTAAAATGACATTCGGCCCTTTGAAGGCGACCGCGAGGCTGATGTGGCCCCAGTGAAAATGAGTCTGACAGCCCCGCAAGGGTAGCTACAATCTAGAGGCAAAGGGGAGAGGAAGTTCTTCCCTAGAAGAAATAAATAGCGTGAGCAAAGGCTTGGAGAAGGAAAGGAGTGTAACACATTTGGGAAACTTTGGAGAAGTGAGTGATACTGAGGTTTATACTGAACAAACCTTTTCTTGTCAGTTTGCTAGGTAAATGAAGGTCGTATTACAGAGTTTTATATATAAGAAAAAAGATTTTTAGCTTTACACAATAGAGAATAGAAAGCTATTCAGAGTTTTTCAGTACTCATGCTATTAATATTAAGAAAGTATGTTTTAGCATTTATCATTTACAGATAACAAACAAATTAGTCACTTAGTCCCCTCCCCAAAGCAAAACAGTTTTATAGCTCCGTGTAAAGTCAACTCAAAGCGCTCACCGCTCTTCTCCCAAATACGTTCTTTCCCTCTCCTTCAGATTTGGTAACAAGGAAGAATACATGGCGTTCATGAACGACTTTTTAGAGCATGAATGGGGCGGCATGAAGCGCTTTCTCCTGGAGATCTCCAATCCGGACACCATCTCCAACACCCCGGGCTTCGACGGCTACATTGACCTGGGCCGGGAGCTCTCGGTTTTGCATTCCTTGCTGTGGGAAGTAGTGTCCCAGCTCGATAAGGTAAAGTCGGCTGGAGTGGTCACAGGAGATGAGAGCTAGAGAGGCTGACGGCCCCTGAATTCTCGAGAGCATCTGCAGGTCCAAGCCCTCGCCTTCCGCTTAGGTGAAAGCAGCCTTTTGTTCTAAAGTCCGAGAGGACATGGTTACCATTCTGGGTAAAATACAGAATGGTAACCCAAACAAGGAAACTCTAGGAAGCCTTGAAAGCACTTACATGTTTTTTCAAGTAATTGTCTGCACTGATAGAGTATATATTTCTATTAGTAAGTAAATGTAGTATAGATAACACATCTAAAAACTTACCTAGAAACTGATATCAAATATTGGTGTTTGTAGCCTTATTCTTGCATAGTAGGATGAGATGACACCTCATACAGCAATTTCTAGCAAAAGTGTGGACTTCAAAATATATGGAGACTATTATGCTTTACTCTTGAGATTTTTGTTGCTATTAATGCAAGTCAAAGGGTTCAATGTATCTGTTAGTACAACAGAGTTACATGGGATCTGAAAATCCTAGTGGCTTTTTTTCTGTTGATGTAAGTTAATACAGAAAACAATTATCATTTTTAATCATTTATTTTCTGACTATAACCTAAGAATTTTGTTATTAGCTAAAAATTTCATTATTAAATTTTAATAAGGATTTCATATTAATAACCATACCAATCATTTTCTTCCTTCTGGAATTTTGCAAAGAAGAGTAGATGTTGTAATGGAAAGTCGTCTTAACAGACTTCAGCTAGGTTCATCACGGTCATTACCTATTGATCATTTCGTTTACTGTAGGTACTTTATAAATAGGTGTGGTGGTATATCAGAATGACTTCAAAAGACCCAGTTATTTTTTTCTGTGATGAGAATTTGTTTTCTTCATTTTCTTATTATCCTTAAAAACGTACCAGTAATATTGGAGGGGGGTGTGAAACCTATTAATAAAGACCACTTTCCTGAGGAAATGTCAATTGTGGGGTACCCACTGCTTAAAACATTCATAAAGTGGTAAACTGCCTTATTCCCAAGGACCCCTCCTTCACTTTTAGAAATGCCGGCTGGACTCTAAGGGGCAGCTGGGCGGAGGGTGGAATCCTTGAACATGAATCACGGCTCGGGGATGTGGAGCGTGGACAGGCGTTCTTCAGGGGCGCCTGAGCCGCATCCGCCCGCCCAGGCAGGGCCGAGGGAGGTGTCGGCTGTTGAGAAACCAGGACAACCCAGAGGCAGCCATGTAAAACTGCCTGACAGCTGAGGGTCCCTTAAGACCCCATGAGAATAAGAATTCCCCAAAGAAGAAAATGATTGAGATGGATAAAGCAAGTACTCAAAAGCGATTCTCTGTTGAATATCTGTATCAGTGAGATGCAGAGAAAGTTATCTTTTGAAATCAGCCTGATTTATTCAGGGTCAGGATCTTCTTATCAGGCATTGCTGTATAAACACACTTTCTGCTTTTTAATCTCTGCGTGGTTCTGGAAACCAGGAGTACATATAGACGTGTTTTGTAGAGAGAGTTTACCTGATTTTTCTGTTTTAAAAAGAATGGTCAGTGCTGATGATGCACACCTAGGGGTCAGGGTTCCCGAGATTCGATGGGGTAGTTGACGGCGACGTCAGTGGTGTGTCCTGAGTGCGCTGGACCCTGCATGCAACACGTGCTTTACGTTGCATGCATTTCTCTCCTCACGTAACCCCTTTTCTTTGGAGATTTCATCACATTAGCCTTACGGTTTTAAAGTCCTTTTTGGTTAGAAGGTGTTCGGTTCTCCTCCTACCTTTCCCCACCTTGATTTACTAGCCTTCCGAAGATTTTGTTTGCTTTGCATGCCTATTTTAGTTGGAATGGCAATATTTTGGTTGTTTTGAGCATGTCTTTTAATTTTTATTTGCATAATCCTAATTTCTATTTCCTTTCTTTTCTCCACGTCTGCCGCACCTTGTTCCGCCTCCTCCACCCATCTCGACGCCATGGTTCCGCTGCTCCATAACAATGCATTATGAACCCGCCACTCCCACACGCAAACACCTGCCCTCCCCTTCAACCTGCACCCCTTCATCCATGGGCACCGTTGTCCCCAAAACAATCTGTGGTGGATGTCGCAATGCTTATTATCCAATTAGGGTGAAAATTCCTTCCTACAGGCGACCGTGGCAAAACTGGGACCTCTCCCTCGCGTTCTTGCCGACATTACCAAGTCCCTGACTAACCCCACGCCAATACAGCAGCAGCTGAGGCGCTTCACTGAGCACAGCTCTAGTCCCAACGTCAGTGGGAGCCTCTCCTCCGGGCTGCAGAAGATTTTCGAAGACCCCACTGACAGGTAGGAGAGAGCATTTGAGGTGCCATCTCACAGAGATCACTTTTTAGAGGGTTGGAAAAAATCTATTTAACTCGTCTGCTGAGCTGACAAACCATAAAGTCTTGAGCAGTAGGAAAGAACCATCTGACCTGAGATCAATCCGGTGTCAGAACAATACACAGGATCTAAGTTGCTTGTTTTTGAGAATGGTATTGTAGAGTTATACTCAACAACTGTAGAGTTTTCAATGCAGCAGATGCATTTAAAAAACTACGTCCTGCTCAGTGGCAGACGAAGGGCTCCACAACCTTCCTGTTTTCGTACATCGTGGCTCTCGGAAATCCGGGAGCCTCAGGAGAGCCACCGTCTGGCTGGTCGGCAGGCGCAGCGTTGGCGCTCAGCCTTTGCCATCTCTGCTGGCAAGATCGGTGCCTTTGGTTGTGCTCTTAGAGCTTCTCCCCTTGAACCAGTTAGGTATGAATGGGAATACTCTGGGAGGGTTTAAACCCTAACGAAAAAATTATTGGAATTCTAGTAAAGACTGAAAACCATGATAGAGCGGTATGTACGGTATTATTCTCCACTTTTAGAGAAAAACAAAAAACGTTGGATTTAATTCTAAAAACTGTGATGATGCAGTCTGAGTTCAGATGGAAGTGTCCGTACTGGGCCCGTGGGCCTTCAGAAGAGCGCAAATGCCTGAGTCGAGGAATCTTAACTACGCTGGATTTGTCCCAAGAGTAATTAAGGGTCCTTTCCTTTTCCACAGTGATTTGCATAAACTCAAGTCCCCAAGCCAGGACAACACAGATGGCTACTTCAGGGGGAAGACACTGCTCCTGGTTCAGCAAGCCTCCTCCCAGAGCATGACGTACTCGGAGAAGGAGGAGAAGGACGGCGGCCTTCCTAACGGACGGAGCGTCTCCCTCATGGACCTGCAGGACACTCACGCCGCCCAAGTGGACCACGCGTCCGTCATGCTCGACGTGCCTCTGCGCTTGACCGGGAGCCAGCTTTCCATCACCCAGGTGGCCAGCATCAAGCAGCTGCGGGAGACCCAGAGCACGCCCCAGAGTGCACCCCAAGTGAGAAGGCCCCTGCACCCAGCCTTGAACCAGCCCGGCACCCTCCAGCCCTTGTCGTTCCAGAACCCCGTCTATCACCTCAGCAACCCCATTCCTGCAATGCCAAAGGCCTCTGTGGATTCCAGCCTGGAGAACCTAAGCACCGCCAGTTCTAGGAGCCAAAGCAACAGTGAGGACTTCAAACTCAGCGGACCCAGCAACAGCAGCATGGAAGACTTCAGCAAACGGAGCACGCAGAGCGAGGACTTCTCCAGGCGACACGCTGTGCCGGACAGACACGTACCCCTGGCCCCGCCCCGGCAGAACAGCACGGGCCAGGCCCCGGTCCGCAGAATGGACCCCGCCGGACTGGGCGCACGAGCCAAAGCCCCACCGTCCCTGCCGCACAGTGCCTCCTTACGGAGCACCGGGAGCATGTCCGTGGCCTCGGCAGCCCTGGCGGCAGAGCCCGCACAGAACGGGAGCCGGTCCCGACAGCAGTCCTCCTCATCCCGGGAGAGCCCGGTGCCCAAAGTGCGAGCAATCCAGAGGCCACAGGCACAGCAGGTAGGACGCAAGCCGGATGGCCAGGCCTCTGCCGGGTCCCTGCCGGGTCCCTGCCCAGTCCCACTGTGCCCCTGTGGGTCCTTGTATAGAGATCGTTGGGAAACCCCCATTGCTAACAAGGCCTCCACTTGAAATATTTCTGCCCCCTGTGAGTGGGCAGAGGAAATGAAGGGTTTGGGAGGCCAGGTGAGGCCGCAAAACGTAGCTCGGCTCCACCCTGAGGATGCTCTGTAAACACCTCGTAGGGGGCTTACCTTCACCGGCACTGAGCACAGACCTGTCCTGTTGAATGAATGATTAGACACTTAATCCAGGAAATCTACAGACCAAGTCAGCTAGAAGGTATTTTGGTAATCCGGACGCAAGTCCTCCTTAAATATCTTTTTCTTTTGCATTCTGAGCCGAGAGTTGAGTCTAACTGCTCTCTACTCCCCCGACTCCCTCTGGAGGAGCAAGTCCCAGGTGCTCTTTCCTGGAAATGGCTGGAAAGATAAACAAGCGAACACCTGTAGAGGCAAGGGGGGGGGGGGGGGGGGGGGTAAAACGATAGACACACAGGCAGCGGACTAGCCTTCTGAACACTTACAGCTTCCTCACAGTTTCTCTTCACGTGGAGGAGTCCCAATCTTAGCATAAGGTCGACAAAACCTTTTTCCCTTGATGAAAAGGTTTCCCAAGAGGCACCAATATATATATTTTGTTCTTTGAAACAAACTAGTCTCCTTAAGAAATATGTGTGTGAGACAGAACTTCTTAGTTTCATCTGAAAAAAGATTTTTATTTTTTAAATCTTTGTATTCGAATATTTTTTTAAAACCTGATCCTACTTTATAAGTACTAGAGAGCTTCATGATTTAAAAAGTTCTTTTGTCAACAAAATAACTTGTCAGAGGAGATGACAGTAAAATTTCAATATATTTTTAATATATTTGCATTTTTATAGGTAGGCATTTACTAATTCGGCTGTTTCTACCTCCGCTCCGCTGTGACCAGAGCCCTCGCCCCCACTTTGATAGGCATTTGATTACTGTTCAGTGATAACCAAGGATCTGCAGAATCCTTGGACACGAAGAAGAGGAAGGGGTGACAAACTGGTCTGAGAGCAGCCGACTCTGGTGGCCGACTTCCTGGGCAGAACCTCCTCGTTGTTCGCTCTTTCCCGAGAAATAACGGTGTTCTTCAGTCTGAAATTTTTTAATTTTTATTTCGTTGTATTTCCCCAAATTTTACCAATTTGTTTGACTTAATAAGTATTTTCATTTCAAGAAAAGGAAAAGTATGTATAACATTATATATAATAGTACAACATAGTAGTACATGTTTCCTTTTTCTGAAGTGAAAATGCTTCACTGCTCATATATATCCGTAGATCTCCTATCTGTGGCGTTAATTTGTGTGCCAGGAGGCTAGCGGTCACTCATGCCGTACTGTGAATTAGTTGCCACACCTGGCCCTTTTGCTGGCTTCTAGTCGAGATCACCTCCTTGCCAGGAACTGAGGTGTCTGGTTGAGAGATGGAAGGTAAGGAGTTCTAGAGATGGACCGCTGTGTGGGGGCAGACGCCTGCTTGGGGGCTCAGTGCGGCGTGAGGGAGCAAGGAGGGACAGTTCGGGGCAGGGCCCTCTCCTTCCTTTCGAAGCTGACAGTGGACCGAAGACAAGGGTGCTTCCCCCGTCCTCCCGTGTCCTCCCAGCCAGCGCTTCGCAGGGCTCGTGACTCAGACCGATTGTTTACAAATGTTCTAAATTCACTTGTGCTACGGGAAAACAGGGCCCACTCCCAGAAGCACTCCGTACACGTTCCTCTGGGTGACAGATGGGAGGTGGGAAATGCCTTCCATCTCCAAGTAGCCAGTCTGCAAATGTCCGGTGCCACAGCCAGCAGTGGGTGGAGAGGGTCCATATGATACCGGCGTGGTCGCGGTGAGAGGTCCTGGCACAGCTTTAAACATTCATCTTCGATTGTGCCTGTGCTGCGACTGCCGTCCTCACGGCCGAGAAACCATGAATCGCTCTATTTTGATTGCTTAAGTTTCTGGTTTTTCTCCACTGGCTTTTTCTACGCAGATGGCTTATTCTTTTAAAACTTACGTTATTTCTTAAATTCCTTATCTTTGGGTTTCTCACTGGCTTTTCTCATCTTCCTCCCACGAAGCCTCTGAAATTCTGTACAATCAGCGCATTTTTCCAGGCAAATTCCTTCACATATTTTAATTGCAGATTGTGTCGGAGAATTCTTTTCTCCCCCAAACTAGAGGGCTTCTTTGTGGGGATTGTTCTGTAGGAGTCTCCAGTTATCCGGGGCTTTGTCCCCTGCGAATTCCATCTGCGCCCCAGCACAAAGGAGCGGTCCCTATTGGCACTGCGACCAGCCCCGGCCTCCCCCAGCAAATGAGTGGGAAGGGAAGAAAATTCCAGTGAAACAATGTACAGAGGGGATTTTTCCCGGGACGCTGTCATTTCTGTCCCTCTCAGCCTCTGTTTGGATTTGGTTTTTTTCCCATTTTCCTCCTCATTTTGTTCTTCATGCATCGTAGACTGTCTCCACAATATGTGCGTTGTTCAGGTACAGCGTGTTACCTCATAAACTTAGAAATCCGAGGGGCTGTCCACACTGGCATCCGAGCGGCCCGTGGGGGTGATGCCGCCCTGGCCAGGCTCCTCCAGCCCCGTCTCTGGCGTCGCTGGCAGAGGTGTCGTTCCCGGACGGGCACTGGGCTGTTTCAGACTCCGGACAGGCTGCCACCAGCAAGTGGTACTCGTTTTAGTAAGTGCTGGAGCGGGGAGCCGGCCTGTTCCCCGCTGTCCCCCCACAGCCGGGCTGTGACTCACCGGAGGGTCAGCAGAACTGCCGTCTCAGGCCCTTTCGCCCGGAGTGTGTTTTTCCCAGAGCAGCTTTATCTCGGGAGGGAGACGTTCCTGGTGGGAATTCCTGCTCCCTGTCGTCTGCGTCATTTTTCATGTCCTCTAATGGCCCGCTGTGGAACGTCAGCGGCTGTGAAAACGCCCCCCCCCCCCAGGATGATGCAGCAGAGCAGAGCGGGAACCCAACCGCTTCCCAGCCTCTGCTCTGTGTCTTTGACCGTCAGCCGGAGGTGGTGAGTTCCGCTCTCTGCGGGGCTCGTGCAGGAGGTGGAGCCTTCGATGCTCTTCATCGCTGTGTGTGGTGGTGTCGTTCATTACCAAGAGGAGGATTAGAGGGGAAACAGTATCCTTCTCCCGGTAATGAATTATACGTTAGTTAATCCACTCTGTGTCAATAAGTAATATTTTATCAAGCATCTTTTGTACAAATATATAATCACTACCATGCCAGCCCCCCAAAAATGCATGCCATGTCTCAAAACTGGACAATTTAATAGGTAAATAAGAACAGCACACCTATACGATAAATGGGAAAAAATGCAAAAAAAGTATATCGTTTTTTCATGGGAAGAAGATATTACAACAAAAAATAATTTTGAAACAAATGTGGCCTCTGTTTTTTTCCAGTCTAACAGGAATAATTTTGATTTGTTCAATGTTACTATTCCATCTTTTTTTTAACCGTGTAAGAAGTTTATGAATGAATCCAAGGCATGGTTAATATTGGTCAGATTTATTTTTTCAACAATTACTGACCACCTACCACATGTCACACAAAGTTCTAGGACACACAAGTCACACCACGGTACTCGTCGGCTTCTGAACTGGCTGAACCCGACACTCGTCACATTGTGACGGGGAAAAACATTCCGGCACTCGGCGCTTGCTCAGGACCCCTCCCGCTTGCTAGAGCAGGGAAAACGCTTCATCATCCGGTACTCGTTGGTCTGGCACTCCCCACAAATTCCAGAATGAATTCAAGGCGAGTACCGAGGCGCCGCCGTATTGGGAGGTGGATGAAAATCAGATTCAACCAATAAGAAGGGATAGAGCTGAATGCCCAGTTTCCATTCTACCGTTGCTTGTAATTCATTGGACATTGTTTGTCCTGCTGAAAATAAGGCGGCCACTGCCATCACCAGTAAACAGAACTACTCTCGTCTTTACGCCTTTTCACTTAACAGCCCAAGCCAAGATTAACCCGAAGGCATTGGAGTTTTTAATGTTTGGGGGGCTAAGGTCCCTCCTCAGTGTGCTCATAGGCGTATCGTTTGCAGTACATTTAGAGACGCTCAGTAAATAGTTACCGTAACAAATCAGAGGGAAAGTAAGTTCATTCGAGCAACATCTTGTTAACGCTATAAAGCAGAAAGCTATTGAATTAGCCTCCTTGAAGTAATAAAGTTCAAAGAGTAAAGTTATTCGTTTTAGTGGCTACTTTATCTCAAACTGTTATTGAATAGAAGCTCCTGGTAACGCAGACAGGCAGCTTTTCTGTAGCAGCTCTTCAGGCAGCTCTGCTTTGAAAATCCAGCAAGGGGTGTGTGTGTGTGTGTGTGTGTGTGTGTGTGTGTGTGTGTGTTGCTTTGCAGTTTATAAAGTGCTTTTATGTGCTGCCTCACCTGTTTCTCATGGTGACTGTGGATGTGGCTAATTATCTCCTTCCTTTCATGGACAGTAGTGTGGCCAACAGGCCAGTGGGATGCTCAGAATTACTTAAGTGTGCGTGGTGTTTATTTTAACGCATTTTTGGAAATATATGTAATTACTGATACAGAAACATATTTAGTATATAACATGAAACTCATAATCTTACTGATATTACTGCTTAGTATAAGGATTTACCTACCTACCTGCAAATGGTCATTTTAAAGAGATAATAAATATCAATGATAATGTGCTTGTGACCAAAATAACGACAGTGGTACACAAATGAATGAAGTGTGAGAAACGTATCTACGTGCCACAGTGGAGAATGGGGCTTTAAAGAAGGAAATTCCAGAAGTTCATTCATCATTCATTGCTACATGTGGCTGAGGCACAAAGCTGTTTTTTTAATTGATACATATGTCTAATCTGTTTGTAAATCAAACAAACCACTTTCCAGCCTTTAAAGAATACTCTTACATCACTTCTGTCTGTACGTGTCTTGCCGAAATCATCTTTGATAACCTTGTAGTCTGTAGCCAGGTTTCATCTGCTCTCTGCAAATCTCAGAGTCATCATCATACCCCTTCCTTGACAATCTCTACTTAGAGTTTATAACTCAGTTCTATTCCAGAATGATATAAAGACTCTTTAAGTGTAAAGAGTAAGAGAGAAAATTCCCCTCAATAAGATTATGGAATATTTGCCCTCAAAATAGAAATTCATTCTAATTATAAAAAATCTAACTCACAATGCTTTAAAGGTTCTTGCACTCAAGTGCACACACACTCTCTCTCTCTCTCTCTCTCTCTCTCTCTCTCTCCCCCTCCACCCCATCCCTTCCCCGCCTCTCTCTCCCATTCTCTCTCGGGCAGGCTAGAGAAAAGGAATCTGTTATATGTTTCCAGCATTGTTCGTGGAGAAAGCACGGATAGTCAGTGGTGTCATATAAACCGTAATATACAGCACCGGTTTTCTAAACAGAATTACATTATTAATACCAACCTGAGCTCTCTGGTACTCGGTGCCTCCAGAGACCTCCCACACGCTTAGTCTCCCTCAATCCTCACAGCCCCCTAAGAGGTCGGGCTGAGTGCTCATGCCGATGCTGGTAGGATCCTATTTAGTGCCTTAGGCACAGAGCATTTAAGAGATTAAGTGACAATTAGGTGGCAGAGTCGCTACTCGAGGCTAGAATTTTTATCTCTCTGTATCTATGTTGGAAAGGACAATTTAGCTGTCCTAACTGGATAGAAATATCTCTTACACTAATTTCGTATCTCTTGTTCTGAGCCTGTATTTGTCAGGAAACTTTCTGGTCTAGTCCAGAACTTTCAGTGGGCTTAACCCTTCAAGAAGTCATTACTCTGTAAAAATGACTAAAATCACTCTTTTTTTCCCTCTTTCTCTAAATGGTTAATGTGAAATTAAGACTCTGTCATTCCCATGTATGAGTGGGCAGCTAGTGGGTTTGTTTAGCTTTAATCACTGCCTCGATTCCTGACCACGTCTGGGCTAACCTGAGCGATCAGCTATCAAGTCACACTTCCCTCCTCTCATTCCGTCATTGTCGTTGCTTCATTGGTGCTCTGGACCACTGGGCTGATTCACAGCTTTAAGGCCTTGTCTTTCTTTGGAGGGGGAGAGAGGCAAATTCTTGGAAGTGTAGCATTAGGGTTTCTATTCAGAATAGTGTCTTCTTATACACATAAATGAATAGTCTCTTTTTCCTCCTCCAGCCCTGGCATTAATAAAATATCAGTTAGAACTGAGAGCTTTTATTAGAAAAGAGGAATCGCAGTTATGTCCTCCAAGAATAGCTCTCTTTGTGAAACAGAACTAGTAGGTGAACAGTGTTGAGAGATGCTGATCAGTATTTCCGACGCAGGTTCAGTCACCTGTGGACTCTGCCACCATGTCCCCGGTGGAGAGGACAGCAGCCTGGGTCCTGAACAACGGGCAGTACGAAGAGGATGTGGAAGAAGCCGAGCAAAACCAAGATGAGGCCAAGCACGCCGAGAAGGTAGGACCGAGTCTGTGTTCACTGACTGACCGCCCCAGAGCGACTGGCCCCCAGAAGGGCCGTCTGGCCGAGGACCTGCGCTGCCCCTCTCCAGCTTCCGCGCCTCCCCTTCCATTAACCATCACGGACCTACCTGCGTGTAGTGGCCAGTAGTGTCATTAGGCGGGAATGTGCGGGAGATGTCCGTCAAGCTGTGGGGGAGGGTATTAGCTCTTTTTCTTTTAATGTAGGCTGCCTTAATGTGAAGAATACTCTGATAGTCATTTCTAGTAATTTTAGGCAATTATTTAGTGTTTTTATAAAGTGGTTGGTAGTCTGCATCCAAAGCCAAAATTCCCCTTAGACTAGACTTACTTTCTATATCTTGGTAATGATTTTCGTGCTGGATCTTGTTTTGTTTTTTTTGTTTTTGTTTTTTTTGCTTTTTCTGGAAAAGAACTTCTGGCTTTATACATGATTTTTAGAAAAAGAACACTGACCATCTATCGGTTCAGTTTCGTTTTGTCTTTTAAAGAAAAGCTGATGGGGAAAAAATGATCAAGAACTTGACGTCCTGTACGGCATCATCTTATTTGACTAACAGCCAGACAGCTAGCTTCCGCTCACCCATAAGCGCGATCTTAAACGTGCCCATTGCTACAGTCTGCCTCCTCAGACTGCCCTAGAAATGGTCATCTTTGACCTTCCTTCCGGAATTAACATGATGTTGAATAAGCAGAAGCTAACTCTCTGGCAGGACGTTATGTGAAGACAGATTGCATTTTGCAAAGCACCATACAGATTTCTCACTAATTCCTAACGAATTTATGTAGACCACCTATCAGGAAGCTTCTGCCTCTCTGCTCACCTGGACGCGTGACGTCCCAGTGTGCTCACTGCCCGCCCACAGCGACTTCGGCACAAGAAGGGGCCATGTAACCAGCGTAAAGCTTTATATGCAGCATTAGCGAGAAAGCAGGCCCTGTGTCTTCCGGAAAGGAGAACAAAAGCAGGCAGGTGAACCACGTCGTGAAACTGGCCAAGGGGCAGTGTTCGTCAGCCCTAGCGGACATGCAGGCCTTTGGCTTAATGCTGGTGGCCTGAACACTCTACACTTTTATAGTTAGGGAGAAAGAAGCTACAGTCCATCATAAAATTCCACTGGCAGTCTGCCATAGAATTCTGTGCATTGATTCAGTAGCACTTAGCATGACAGAAATGTTGCCTGTTCTCTGCAGGGCCCATTCCGGCAGAGTGAAGGAATGGCGGTCTGCTGAGCCAGGTTGAGGGCGAGATCCCACAGTACAGGCGATGGCACAGAACCCGTTCTCTGTAGACCCCTGGCTCCTGGCTCAGTTCAAGTGATCCGTCAGGCTTCCAAGTGCTTGATGGTTTTTTTCCTGCTCCCATTTGATGCCATCATAGGTTGGGTGTGGCTTGCAGCAGCTGGTAGTTTAATGTGGAGATAGACACATAATATGTAGATTTTCAATGCCAAGGTAACATCACAAGTGTAATTTTAGGAGCGAGGCAAAGCTCCGTTCCCATTCGTGCCTTTGAGAACAGCAGCAGCACTGGGCGGGACGGCTCAGACGGCATCCAGCTGCCTTGCCCCCGGTTCCTCTCCTAAAAAGCAAATCGCCGATTGCTACAGCCAGTGCAAGGCGTTTTTCTCTCCTCTAGTATGAACAGGAGATCACCAAACTGAAGGAGCGCCTGCGAGTGTCCAGCCGGCGGCTGGAGGAGTACGAGCGCCGGCTGCTGGTGCAGGAGCAGCAGATGCAGAAGCTGCTGCTGGAGTACAAGGCGCGGCTGGAGGACAGCGAGGAGCGGCTGCGCCGGCAGCAGGAGGAGAAGGACAGCCAGATGAAGAGCATCATCAGCAGGTCGGAGGGGCCCCGGCGCTGGGGGCGGGCTGGCCAGGGGCACCAGAGGCGGGAGGAGGGGCCGCAAGGCCACCGCGGCACGTGCTCCCTGGTCTCATTAGTACGGGGTGATGACCCACCATGACGCTTAACCTTTTCCAAACGTGAGACTTTCCTGCACTGCCTTGGAAGGTAGAGGTAGTCTGTTTCATTTAATCACAACAAGTAGAAAAAGTGAAAAGTTGGTGATGCCCGTGGGATGCCTTAGAGGGGAACTGGGTTCTGAAACCCTAAGTGCTCACGAACAGGTCCAAAGCTGTGGAAGGGAGTTTCATTGGCCTTCATTAGGGCCGGAGGGGGCTTACAGGCCAGGCTCTTTTCTAAGTCCTTTACAAATAATTTGTTTAACCTGGTAATAATCATTTGTTTCATGCCAACCTCTGAGGTAGGCATTATTATCATTCCCATTTTACAAATAAAGAAGCAGGCAGCAGGTTGATTAAGGCACTTGCCCACGGTCACCTAGCAGCTCAGGCAGGATTTGAGGCCAGGCCGCCAAGCCCCAGAGTTTGTGCTCCGATCCACCGCATTTCCGTCTGGTCAGAAGCTGTGGGCAGGGCAATGAACTGAAGACAGAAGGGGGCTGTTGCTTCAGCCACACGGGGTCTAACCGAGAGCAGTTTGATGGGACTCACACATCCGAGGGGAAGATGTCAGGGGTGGGCGAGAGAGAAATTAGACCCAATCAGTAGAGAGTCCTCTCGGACGGTCGTCACAGGGTCACCGGAGATTGAGAGACGGTCGTTTGGCTTGTGTTGATGGCTTGATATTTTAAGATGAAATAGTGGTGCTGAGGGATCCGAGGGAGGATGCGATTATGGGGATGCTGTCCCAGAGGAGATGGAAGTGTAAGGGACCTAGTCCCGGGGTAGAGAAATCAGCGCTGGCTGTCTCCCAAGGCAGGAGACCAGAAAGAACGCACGTTACAGACCTTCAGTTGGGGAGGGCTGGAAGCGCTGCACTGTGCTGAGTGGGGTTTCTAGTCCGCTGCGCAACCTGGCCCTCTCTCCAGAGATGCTGAAATGTCCTTCCTGCCACCTTCTAGGCTAATGGCTGTGGAAGAGGAGTTGAAGAAAGACCACGCCGAGATGCAGGCAGTCATCGACGCAAAGCAGAAAATAATCGACGCACAGGTAAGTGGGCCTGGAATGCGGTGGTCAGCTCTTGTCCCTAATCACTGCTGTCTTCCGACTCCCCGCCCCTTGCAAACGCCAGGGCATGGACTGGAAAATGGGTCACAGGAAAGGGCTCTGCATTACCTTTCAAAGAGTAAGAGTCTCCATGTGACCTCTGACTTCTCCTTTCTTCTATTGGTGACAAGCCTGTTAACCCAGCCAAGTGTTAGCGTGCTTAGCGCAGTTGCTTGACCACTCTCAGCCCAGTGCATGATGGGGGTTTACTTCCTTCCAGACGGGAAAAGCAGGGCGTTCTCTGAGGGGGCAGCTGTGAAAAGTACACTGCATGTGTCTGGCTTGTGACCTCCACCGACCATTGCTTGGCTGCGATGTTCACGGTCTTGTCAGTCACGTCCACTGTGCTACCAACCTCCAGCCCCAGACAGCGGTGGGGCCGCAGGGGTCACACCGGGTTGGAGAAGACGCCTGTCCTCATTACTCCTTTGGTTCCGGGCTTCTTTCTCCTTTGGTTCTGGGCTCGGCATTGACACTCGGGGTTTGCTTGGTCGCCCTTCTTTGTCGGCTCTGCTTGGGGAGCCTCTTCCGGGTGAGGGAACCAGAGTCTGGGCCCCCACTCTCTGTAGGTCATACCTGTCTCAGTAACGGCGTGACGACCACCAAGAACACCTCACAGGGACACATCAATGAGCAGAGCAAAATCCAGCAGGCTGAAAATGCTTCTAATTCCTTTTATCAGCACAAAATACGGTCATATCCTTAGAGCAAAACAAGTGGCAAAAGGCAGGTGTGGTTTTGAGAATGTCTGGTCTACCCACTAAATGTGTCGCCTCCCTGAAGGCAACCCAGCCAGGTTTGCACTGGCCGTCCTCAAACGCACGGGGGGTCTTGAGCGAGCACTACCACCTGCCGTCTGGGTGCCGGGGGTGAGCCGGCCTCCTTCACACACCAGGCCTGGAAGCCGATTGGAGTGCCACGCTCCAATATCAGCTTGGCGCCCAGAGTGTCCTGGACTCTTGAACACTAGTTTTAAGAGTGTCTGATATTTAGATCTCCATTGTATCAGAAGAAAGTTCTGTTGTGCTGATCTTACACGGTCCTTTGTTAAAAAAAAAAAAAATTCCCAGGTGTCCCCAGGACCGGTGAGGGAAGGGTAGCAGAGACACGGCCGTCTCGCTCTATGTACCGTAAAAACCAATCCCCGAAGCTTAAGAGAAGCAGCCTGGAGAAGGAGGGCAGCGTAGTCCTGAAGGGTAGTGGGTGCGTTTTCACCGTGGAGTTTTCCGCGTGACACCCTAAAGCTGGAATGGTTCTACCGAGTTAATCGTTTCCGCTGGCCCGAAACTGTGTCCGCAGCCATCAGAGGGAGCGTGGGTGAGCCGTGATCACGGCTCGCCCACTTCCCTTCACAAACTTCTCTGTCCCCACACCCCCTATTTCGGCACCTAGGGCGAGACAGCGGGGTATAAACAGGGGCCTAGGCAGGGAAGGCGAAAGCAAGAGAAGGAGTTGGATATATCAGGACTCAAAAGCTCTGGAAAAGGAAGACGTTCTCTCAGTTAACTAGGCGTGGGACACTGTTCAGGACCAGAGGCATCAGCACCCTCAGAGCAGCAGACCTGTGCCCCGGCTGAGCTGGACAAGGTTCTGTGTCCATCCCTCGAGGCCACGCTTTTCAAGTGGTTCGATTTCGTGGATGACTTTGGCGAAACCAGGGGCGCCTTCCAGAGATCAGTTCCCAGCAGCTCCTTGTGACCCCCTCAACACCAAGAACCACTCTCAAATAATAGGCCACATCACACCGGAGTTGGCTCGGTGTAATCAGTCACCCATTCCAACACAGGCATTGCCATACAGTGAGTTTCCGCCCCAAAGCCCCAAGCTGTGGGTCCCCAAAGAATATGAGCAGAACTCACTAGACCACATTTGAAAATGGCTGTGCCAGGCACAGCACAGGTCAAAAACACTGAAGCCAGTTTTTTAAATTATACTGTCTTTAAACAGCAGGTTTCCTGGTTCCAGTTGTTGTCTTACTGATACATTAAAATCTTTTTTTATAGCAAAAGGCTAAGAACACCCTTTGGCACCCTTTGAAATGAAGGGCATTTTACATCAGGCCCTTCCCTGGGTAAGGAGGACCCCTACATGGGGCGGAAAGCTCGCCAGCAAAGTGACCCACGCTTCCGTGTCCCTGACCGCTGCCTCGGTGCCGACGGCAGTGGGAAAACTGGTTCTGAAGTGCATACAGGGTCTCCCCTTCCCCTGGAGCTGGGCGCAGCATTTCCTGAAACCCTGAGGCCGCGCCCAGTGAAGCGGTTTGCATCCCTCTCCGTGGCCCTGTCCCTATGGGACCAGCTGGTGCCTGAGTGCAGCCCTTCCACCTCCTAGAGCTGGTTCACGCTACAAGGGCAGCCTGGGCCAGCAGCTTTCTAACTGGATGCAGAGGATGCGATCTCTGCTGGGGAGGGCAGGTCCACCCGTCCTGGACCCCGCGGCACGGCCACAGGCATCCTGGTGACAGCACTCAGGGACCATTTCTTAAACATCAACATCAGGGACCGTGCCACCTTTCATGCCCTCCCGCCCAGGATCTCTCCACGTGGCTCAGATGGAGAACCGAGAAGGGCTCCCTCTGAGAAGCAAGCAGCTGCCTAGTTACTGTTGGCAAGTGATACCTCCACTGTGTTAAATTACAGGTCCTAAATGGAGATGAGATTATTCAACCAGGCAAGTAAACCCTGTCGTGCTCCAGCCGAGCAGCCCGCCCCGGCCCGGTGCACCGCCTCCTGCCCATTCCAGCTCCTCACTCCCCTCCTCCACGTCCTCCAGCAGGCCCGAACCGGGGGGCTCTGCCCTTCCGTCTGGCCAGCGTCACATGCCGCAGCCTCTTTTGCCAATGAACCTTGAATTTCAAAAGTCCCTATTTGATTTTTCCCTTTTACTTTTTGTTTCATTGTGAGAGGTTGGCAGTGAGGGGAATTTCAGAAGGGAGTTTCTGCACTTAGAAACCTTCCACTGTTCGGGGGTTGCTGGATTCTGTCGTTCCTCTCGCAGTCAGCGAATAATTACAGTCGTGCTTAGCCGTCTTCGTGACTCTTGAAGAACCAAATATTTTTTAATGAACGCCTCATTTTTCTTTTGGATAGACCTGGAAAATCCTGCATTCCTTAGTATTGGGTCCTTGTAGATTACCCTAATGCTGAAATAGCTTTTTTCATCATTTCAAGAAGTAACGTTTTTCTGTGTAGAGATCATTCCTAACCACAGGCTGAAACATCAGATTTGGCTTCCACCCTGGTTTTCTGGTAACCACTGGCCAGTGCTTACCTGCCGACCGAGAAAAGATCTATACTTATGATCCCAGTAAATTCCATTGGCTGAAATTTTTTCATTATTATTTTTAAAAGCCTCACAGATCTTTCTTGGAGTTTTGTCCTTACAATGAGGTACTCATCTTCCCAAAGTCAAACGCATATTATCCTAGATGATTGGTGATTTAATAACACTGATTTGGGTACCTGACCTCCGAGTTCTCCATCAGGGAAAGAGGAATTTTTTTAATGATAATAGCTTTAATGAGCCGGGGTTTTTTTCATGCCTTTGAAGCTGGGACCACCACACCCGCTTCGTGCAGACCCCACCCTGCCCCACAGCAGGGAGGCATCACTGGCTGCTGTTGTAGGTGCTTAGATCCCGCCCCAGGTGGCAGGCTTTACTCTGCATCCCCTGCAGCCAGGTCCCCACAGAGCACGGCCCCAAGGGCCCTCTGTGGCTGCTGCTTCCACTGCGGGGAGCGGCAGTGAAGTCCCTCTGTGTCCCCTGGAGCCTGACCGTGGCTCACGTCCCCGTGCCCCCCACCCCGTGAATGCTGGCACTCCTGGGGGAGGAAGCGCCTTCTGGCTTAGGAGAGTCGGTCCATCCGTGCTGGTTCCTACTTAATTTCAGGGGCACAGGTAGAGCCAGTTCTTCTCGGCGTTACCTTCTGGAATGACTCACCTGGCTGCCAAAGTTAAGGTTAGGGTTCCCTCCTGACCTTCGTGAGACAAATAATATTTTGATTGGGTGATTTTTAGATGGGCTTACTTTTCTTGCAACTGTGCCCCCCCCCTCTTTTTTTAGCCCTTTTTTCCCTCAGTTTTATTTTTCTTGTATGCGTGTTCATCAACCTCTGGTCCCAAAATATGGTTCTAAAGCTTCTGTTTTTCCAGAGACTCAAAACTAAAGTGAAAGCCGCCTCCGCGCCGGGCGGCTTTCCCGGAGTGACTCTGAGCTGGAATGAGCCCAGGAGCGCGTCTGTCTGTCTCCCCGTGTCACGTTCACGGCGACCCCTGCGGCCACACCTCCCTCCCTGTGCCCGAGTAACGCCCTGGTCTGAGCTTCTGGCTGCTCCCCTCCTCTTGCGTGTTGCATCCTCACTTTGTCGGTGACTGTCCGCTGCCACCATGTACTGGTTTTAATTCCGAGCCCAGTGTGAGTCCTCTGCAGATGTGACCGACCGGTGTGCCACCCACTCTGGGGGGCTCAGAACCCGCAGGTCACTTGCACTTCTCCTCCGCGAAATGAAACCTCTGGTGCTTCTTTCTTGGCCACCTAATTTCACATTTTCATTTTGACCAAAAGGCCCTAAATACAGTCAGTCGGGCAGCTTGACCCCTGAGTCTCATGGTCTGAAGTAACACGTGGTGTCATTTTTACGTGGTACCCCCGTGTTTCGAGGGGTTGTTATAATAACAAACCCTGCTGTGCTGAAGGAAAAGAGAACAGGACACAGGCCCACTGGGCTCAGGGGCGGCTGAACCTGACTCGCACGCAGAAAGAGGCAGAGACGTTCCATTTGCGCGGACAGCGTCCTGCGTGCGGCTGTGTGATAGCAAGCGTTAGAACAGCCCTCCTAGAGAACGGGTGTCAGTGTGGTTCCCCGCATGCAGCCCGAGTAAAGCCGTGATCCGTGTGTTGCAGGAGAAGCGGATCGTGTCCCTGGACTCGGCCAACACCAGGCTGATGAGCGCGCTGACCCAGGTGAAGGAGCGCTACAGCCTGCAGGTCCGCAACGGCATCTCGCCCACCCACCCCACCAAGCTTTCCATCACGGAGAATGGTGAATTCAAAAACAGCAGCTGCTGACGGCCTCGGACACCAGGCAGGCTGTGGGGGGAGGAGGCGGAAGGACGCGTCCCCGCGCCCAGCGCCCCCGGGGCTCCAGGACGTTGGGACAGCCGTGGGGCGAGAAGCTCTCAGATGAAGGAGGAACCTTGCCTTTCAGGGCAGCAGGCTAAGACTTCCGAGGTGGCCGCCTTCCCCCAGGCCTCTGTGTACATAGGGAACGTAGTTCTGGGCCATGTACAGAAAGTCCCCCTGTAATATACCCACTGGAAGTTAATAATGTAGATTACCTTTTTAATTATTGCTATTTTTATTATTGTTTTCCTCTCGTTGAAAGCACTGCAGTTGTTGAGAGAAGGCAGGTAGGAACTATGTGTGAGTGAGAACTGAGTTCAGCGGTGGAGTAGGTAGAAACCCAGTGTCTGTCTGTCTGTCTGTCTGGTAGACGTGCACAGCGTGCAATAGGACGTTGTCAGAATGAGTTTTTCAGGGATTCATCTGCCAGTTAAAAACCCCGCTCCCATCCCCTTGTCCTTAGGGAAACATGAAAGTACTAAGATCCAAACAAAACGCTTTACCCCACCGATCAGCCAAGGCCGGTTCTGGACGGACAGCCAGTCCGATCTGGGATGCGCTGCTTCAAAACTGGACCGGCGCCCAAACTGGACCGGAGGGGCGGTGGCTGCCGAGCTCCTGCCGACGCCCACTTCCTTCTGTCTGTCGCAGATGGGAACTGCCCCCTTCAGAAGGGGGTTTTTTTAACCCCAGTTTTAATAAAGGGTGTTCTTTTTCTTCTTTAGAGTTTACAAAACTATAAATATTTGTGTCTCTACACTCCATCTTCACCTTCCCAAACCCACGGCCCTTTTCTCCCCCACATGGCGGCCCACAGGGCTTGCCGGCGCGGAGAGGTTCCTCGGACACGCTGCCCAGGAACCCTCCCAGCAGGCACCCTTTCTTCCACGCAGAAAAGGGCTAACCGCACCATAGCAGGGGTCTCTGCGTAGTTGCTGTTTTAACGAAATTTCTATTTGAAAATTACCGTTTTTATTTGGGATAAAGATTTTATTCATTGTATTCAGCATATCTCCCGACAGGGTAACCTTATCTCAACCTTCAGCTTTCAAAATGCTGCTTTCTCTACTCCCCGAAGTAAACTTTGGAAAGGAAGTCCAAATCTGAAGCGTCGTTCTCTGAAAAGTGATGCTTACTTCTGTAATAAAGAACCCTCCACGTGGGAGGCAGCGTGCCCCCATGCTCTCAGTGGGCTTGTCAGTAACCGCCATGTCACCGGTGGTCAGCAGCTTTATCGTGGGACAGAAACGGTCACGAAAGCCAAGTGTGGAGTTCCTCTTTCCCAAAGGCGCACAGTGTCACCTTGACGGCAAGCCCCATCATCGGAGTACGGACTGTTACCTGCTGGCCATTGTATGTGCAGACGTATCTACCTATCTAGTCACACGTGTGTGCGTGTAACCGCACACACAGGAAACGTTCACGCCCTTTGTGCTGTGAGATACAATGTTAGAAGGGTTTGGAATCTATTTAAGCAAGATCTGAGCAGTTTCTATCGAGAAAGAACACTTCTCAAATAAGCTATCGATGTTTATTTTAAATTATAAACTTTAAGGAAGTTTTTTAGAAGGAAAAGGAAAGGAGGAACAAAAACGACCTGAGGGAGGCGTGTGCGTGGAGTGGGCGTTTCTGCGTGACAGGTATGTGGAGGGAGCGGAGAGCAGGTGTCTGGCGGGGCCTCTTCCCGGTGAAGCGTCCCTTCCTGGGGCCCCAGCCCGCCCTCCCACTCTTCCTTGCTGCCCTCCCTCAGCAGGGCCTCGTGCTGGACCCTGCGCCTCCGCCACCTCCCCACGGCCCTGCAAAGCACTTCCCTGCATCGCACTCCCACCTGTGCCTGTCAGACACCTGCAACGGGGTTCTCGTGGCGCCTACCTGATCTGCAGGCCTCGTGCCCACGGGCTCGGCGCCTGCGTGCTTTCGGGACCCTTGGTAGATATTTTACTTATCTCTCCCTCCCAAGCCGAGGGCACACTGGGGAGGTCACTTATTTTAATGGCGGGGAGCAAGCAGGCCTGCAGTAGTGCCCCTCGTCGGGAGGCTGGGATGCAAACGGGTTCGCCAGTTCTCCGGTCCGCCAGGCTGGCTTACTTCATTCTTTCTAAAAAGCCTGCAGCTGTGCAGCAGACAATCCGGCAAAAGCATTGTCGTTTCAAGGGCCTGAAGTGTGTAACCTGGCGACGTCTTGTGTGAGGTTTGGAAGCTCTCGGGTTGGTGATGGATCACAGAGAGCCGATGAACTCACCTGCGCTGGGGGTTTGGGGGAGGCACAGAACCTCAACTGCGTTTCTGACGGATGCATTTTGTCTCCTGGGAGCTGCCCACTTCGGGAGAGTCAGTGCCCAAGTGTCTGGATAGACTGTGCAGCCCTCCGTCCTCAGGTTATCTCGAATGGGGAGAGTAAAAAAATCAGAAAGTTAGAAGGAAGCTGGAAGTCCAGCATTGTTGCCGGATGTTAAATTATGGATTATCCTCTGAGCATGTTTCTGTCCAGATATTTCTCCGGTTTTTCTTTAGCCAATGCTGCAGTCCGCAGAGCGTATGCTAGAAGGCTTTTCCCTCACGTGCGGAGGAAGGCGCAGCGGCTGCCTTCCCTGTGGAGCTGGCCGCTCCTCCGCCCAGGTGGGTGCCGGCGTCCGTGCTGCTGGGCGGAGGCACCAGGCAAAGGAGCGGAGGGTTCAGAAGGCCGGGTCTTGCACTTCTTCTACCCAGCACATCGCCACACCGCAGGGCGCAGCAGGCCCCAGGGTGCAGTGCAATCTGGAGGTCAGAGGACAGGCTTGCCGGGGGCTTGGCCAGCTGACCACCAGACGTGGCCATTCACCAGGACAGTGCCGGTGGGGTTCAGGAAAAGAGCTTCACATTCCCCTTTGATGTCCCTGGAGCGATACGCTTTCTGGGCCAATGCAGCAAAGAGAGTTAGATTTCCATCAGGTTACATGTTCTCTGAGTCTCTGCAGCACAGGCCCTGACAGGGGAGCTTCTGACGAGGCACCTGTGACAGACACCCGAGCACACCCTGTGGGCCTGGGGCCACATGTCAGTAAGGGGAGGTGGCGAACCAAGGCAGCTGTGCTGCCGCAGCTTCGGGCTTTTTCCGCCTGGTGTCGGGCTGGTGGGAATTAGCTTTCTCGGGTCTGCTTCCACCTCTCCCTGCGCCGCCTCCGGACAGCGCAGGGAGAAGTGGGATTATCGGTCCGTGCTGCTGTGCATGCTTCAGAACTGGCCTGACTTCAGAAGTCAAGTTTCTCGCGTCTTCGTCTGCCTGCGGCCTCTGTGCACGCGTACAGGCCCCGTGGGCCCCTGGCACACGCGCTGTCCTCAGAGGCACAGCAGCTGGGGGCAGACCTTTCCCCGAAATCCCAGAGCAAGATGACTGCCGACCCGTGACCCCGTGTCAGGGTTCACTGTGCCTCCCATCCAGGTTCGGTTCCAATCATCTCCAGCTGGGAGTTCCCGAGAAGGCTGGGCATGGGGCCGCACGTGGGGATGGCACCCCCCTCAGGGTCCCGAGTCCCGCCTGACCCTGAGCCCCTGGCCTGACACCAGCCTGGACTCGGCACCAGGCCCGACCCGGCGGCACTGGGGCCCATGCCACGGCCTCACTGGACTCCAGGCCACCCCTACGGACGCCATCTCCTCCCAGGGACTGTGGAAAGGGCCTTCTCCTCTCTGCCCTTCCCCCTTCCAACTGGTGGGGGCGCTCTCACCTGCCCCAGCAAGTAACTCCTCGCCTTCCAGGGTACTACGTTTCCATCAGTGTGTCCCTTGAGAGGACCTATTTTACTAGTTTTTTTAAAAGCTAGCTATACTGGGGGTGTTGAATTTTTAAATAGAGTCTTTTTATGTTTGAGTGATTGATATTAGTTCTAAAAACATCCACTCATAGTCAGGACCCTGTGGGAAGCTCTCAGCGTTTAGGAAAGGCAGAAGTGATGAATTTGCATAAGGGGGGAATTCTCCCGTGAGGCCTGAGAGAACCTGAGGGACATGACGGGACCTGAAGGGCACCAGCCCAGTGGCCTTTCTCAGGGGCCCAAGGGCTCCAGGGAGCAGGAGGGTTGGCAGCTTCGCCTGCTCTTAGAACGCACAGGTGTGAGGAAAGGCGGTTTCCATGGCCAGCACGTGCTCACCCACAAAACACTCCTTCCCAAGGGCTCTGTCTTCCTTGGGTGTTAATCCACCTCTCAGAGCAGCGATCCCCGACTTTCTCGGGTGGTTTAGAATGTATCCTCTCATTCGTTAGGTTTGATGACAGTGATTCTCTCTCTCCTTTAAAATGTACCATATGTGCTCTATGCACGTATATAAGTTAAAGTAACGTGAAGTTGATTGGGTTTGACGTTGACGCAGGAACCCCAGGTCTCGTGTCTGATACCTTGGGAGTCCTGGAAAGTCGGCTGAACCTCACCAGTCCAGGCTCACATCAGCAAAGACCCACAGCATCCACACAGAAGTCCTTCCGGTTCCCGATCACTTATCCTCGGGGGTCAGCAGAAGCAGCCCAGCCGGACTTGGCAAATGCGGGAAGCCACCCAAGAAACGCAAAGTAATGGTTTTTGCCCAACTTTCATCATGCACTTTAATTTCTGACTCAGTTCTTATTTTTCGTTCAGATGCCCTCGTTTTCCCCTAGGGAATCTTTTAGTGGGGACCCGAAACCCGCTTTCCCAGTTGTTGTAGAGAGAGTCCCACAGAAGCCATGTGTTAGAGGCCTCCCGCAGCTGCGTGGAGTACACCTGTGCATGTATAAACATCCCACCCGTGTCGTTTCTGAGCCCCCCAAGGGGAAGATTTCAGTTCCCAGTTCACCAGAAGCTTAAGTGCTGACCGATCCCGTGACCGCCATCCTGCAGAAAAGCTGAAATAAACAATAAAGCCGAAATGCTGACCGGTGCTGAGACATTTCCTAGTTCCCTTGAAACTAACGCAAGTGGACAGCAGCGCAGTTCACCTGAGTCACACCTGCGGGGAAGGCACCTCCTAAATTCGCTTTTCTTTTTCATCTCCAGGGCCTTAATAAAAGTGTGTTGGTACACAGAACTATTTTACAGCGATAGCTCTAAATAATTTATTTTTTATTTCAAGAGAGAGAAATACACCTTAGAAAAACAAAACCCAAGGTTTTATTTTCTTTTTAAAGCCATATTTTTGTGCCGGTGGCACTTAGATCGTTCCCTGCGTGAGACCCACACCTGCATTTCATTACCTGGGTTTGTTCTAAAGAAGATTTATTTTTGTTCTGTGAATAAATTTTGATGGTTCTTGTACATGTACAGATATCGATGCATTTGAGGTCTTTTATTGATAATCCTACAAAGAATACGAATAAACTTTAAACATTTCAGACTAAAGTTGCCATGGTCTGTGACATACCACTCTTATTTCTTGCACATCTCTGGGGGATTAGGACCTTTGACGAGAAACCAGAAAAAAAAAAACAAATCATGTTTGCAGGAACATTATTCTGAAGGTACATTTTAACCTTAAGAATTATGCCTTAGAATTCCCTGACTTTTACAGGTAAGAAATATTTAGATTTGAGACAAATGGCACAAACACACAGTGTGGTATCGTGGTGGTGCCCTAGACAGCACCTCATTCTGGAGAATTTGAAATCCCTCTAATAGATTGTCGCTGGGGAAGAAAGGACCCACTGGGCTTGGAAGCGTGGCCACGCTTAGCGTCCCAGACTACCACTGACCCCTCCTAGTCCCCCAGATTGATGGGGTTTGTTTCCGAGTTTGTTTTTCGGTTCTCATTTGCTCGTCATTCTCAAAGCTAGTGTCCCAAACACCCCTTATTCACCTGCCTCGTTCTCTAAAGTCCCAGGGGTGTGGGTCTCCTGTGTGGTTTTCTCTGGAGTTGGGAGGAGATCTAAGTTCCACCCTCAGCCCAGCCAGTCCCGGGCTCTGGAGTTCTTTCTCATTCTGAGCTACTGGAAATTCAAAGAACGCAGAGTCACGCAAACCCAGGCGACGATGCACGGGAAGGAGGCCGCAGATCGGCAGGCGTGTGAGCTACTTCTTGTCTCCTTCTCGGCCGACCCACGTCAGCCTGAACCGCTCATGACCCAGCGTCAGCTTTAAGACTTCCCGGATCTGAAACGCCAAACAGAGGAAAACTGGTACTATTCCCTGTGACCTCGTCCTCTCCACCACCATGCCCCGCCCCCCACCCCCCGACAAAATGAGAAAGTCCAATGACAAAGGACTCAGTCGGTGCTTCTCAGTCGGGACTGGTCATGAGAATCACTTCGAAATTTAAGGGGAAAAAAGCAGCAGGGTGCCTGTGGGTTCCACCCTGGGGGACTCACCAGGAGCCATCAGGGGACTGCGGCCAGGCCAGGCTTCCTGTGGACGTGCCCAGGGGGCGGGGTCTAGCCTCAGCCAGGGTTTACAGCCACTGGTTCCCGTCTGGCTCTGAGCGCCATGTGTGAGTGTCTGCGACAGTGTTTCTCTGTCCCTGTCCCTGAAACTGTGATCCGTTGGCCACTGGTATTTGCCTTCTATTTGGAATTTTTAAATGCTGCTAAAACTGATAATATATACCTTCCCCTCCACACACCTTGTCCCCACCAATTCCATGCTTTAAATCTATGAGATACAAATTCTCTCCATTAATAAGGGGCAGATACAGTCCTGATCTTACTATTATTGGCTTTGATTTAAAACAGACAGTAGATGGCTTCTAGTTTGGTCCCCCCAGGAGTCCCCCCCAAAAGTCCTTGACTTTTATAGACCTGGTACTCAGCACTACAGTCTTATTACTTGCACTTTTTCCAAAAATAAAAAAAGCATCAGATGCTGAATTGCATCTTTAGCACCTGTTCTTCCTTCAAGAGCAAAAGGCACAGAGAGCCCTCCAGTTCCCCGCCCCGCTCCCTGGTCGGCTCACACCGGCACCCCATCGCTCTTTGTAGCAACTCGAGCTGGTGAGACTCTAGAACACATTGCCGGGGGCAGGGGGGTTCTTTCTTTGGCCCGTGAGTACCTCGCCACGAACTACCAGATAAATGCCAGTCTGTTTCCTCGTTCACAAAATTATGGTTTGGGCTGGATGACCCTTAAGGAACTCGGGCTCTGATACTACGTGATCCTCTGATACAACTGAAATATGTGCCCTGAGGCCATATTTGAAATCAGCTTGAGGTTGTTGTCGCAGTATTGATGAATAATTCTTCCTCTTGGCCATCTCCCATCTCACCTTATACTTTATACTTTACTTTGAAAAGAACAAGGGGAAAAAAGCCTGGAAGAAAGGCATGTTGCGAACAAGAACAATGTCGATAACGATTATAATAGCCAATGTTTATGTTTCTTCTGCACTTACCACGTGCCAGTTTGCTAAGCACTTGGAATAATTCACTTAATCATAGCACCACCCGTATGAGGTAGGTACTGTCGTTCCTAATTCATGGGAAAACAGACTCAGAAAGATGACTTTAGTTGCCCAAGGTCACTCAACTCAGAAGTGGAGAAGCAAGACCCCAGTTCAGGTCCTTCTGATTATGCTGCCTTTGTTTGTTTGTTTGTTTGTTTGTTTGTGAGCTCAGGAAAATTGTGGGCAAGGGCAAGAAAAAGACCTGAAAAGATCTCAGCACATGAACCTCTCTTTAACCTTGAGCCAAAGCAATGGCGGTGGGAACAGATGGGCTCATTTTCCAGAGCCTTCTCTCTCAATATCTGGATGTTGACAGCATTGCCTCACATGGTTCAGTCACCTGACTGATCGAAATTAGAAGTGGGCAGAAGGCTCACCTCACTCAGAAATTGCTCTTTCATATCTTCCGGGTCCGCCAGAGCTGGAATGGTGAAGTCTGCCTTCAGGATCCCAAAGATTTTCCCTGGAAAGGAATGTGCTACCTGGATCGGTGGAAATCATCCTCTTGCCGTGTAAAAATGTCAAGTTCTTAGCAGTCGGGAGTACACACTGAACACTGTAGTTGGTATGTGGTGATTTAAGATTGCAAAGAGGGACATGAAAGAAGCTACTGAGCAGGGGAAGGCTCAGTTACAATTAGGACCAACCGACCAGTGGTTAGAAGGAGCGTCGTACTTACATCGTGGGTAATGCTGGCCCTCCTCCCCCACCAGACAGTGATTTCCCCCCCTCCCCAGGGCCCACGTCTGTAAAGGCCACTCTGCCCCAGGAAGCTCCAAGTCCTTGGAGCTTGTAAGCAAGCTGAGCCTTGAGCTGTGCGCCCCTGGAAGTCATCCCAGGAACTACCAGCCCGTAACTGGACGACTTTATATTTGTCCAGCCATTGATAGTTTATAAAGCACATAGTCACCTGATTGGGTGTTTGCAGCCGCCCTGGGTCAGGGTAGTTTCTGCCGTCCCCTTTTTTCAGGAGAGAAGTAGGAGATTCTGAAGGGAGGCAGACGCTCCCTGTGTTTTCACTGTAGTCAGGGTCCTCGTCCTGTTCCTCCCATTACTAGCTCTTCCCAGCCTTCCCAACATGCTGCGTCATCTCTCGTAGGAAGGTCTCGAGTACCCGGTGCTAAGGAGGGGCTGTCAGATTGAACTGCTCGGTTGACAGGAGTAGGAGTTCGGTGACCGGAAACAGTACCTGATTCTGATGCTGTAGTTTTTTCTCGCGACTTTGGGTGGTTGGATGTGCTCACAGGCTGGGCCTGAGTGGCAGTGGCTGTGTCTCTTACACCAGTGCTTCCTCCTTCTCTGGACACAGCTGTGGGAGGGGAAGTAAAGGAGTCATTGCAAAGATCGCCGGGAGCAGGTCGGTCTGAGGCTGGCGACCACCCCCGCGCTGGGAGATGGGCACGGGCCGCCCCTGCTGGATGACAGTTGCTGCAGACAGAAACCTTCCAGTCCGGACGTGCCCCCTTGCGCCGCTGCCCCACCACAGCACCCAGGGACCCCCACATCTCCGTCAAGGTGCAGCACCACAAACTCAGAGTGATCCAGAGCCAAGCTCAGCCTCCCCCAGCAGCCTCCAGTGCCCTGTGCGGCTGCCCATCTGCTGAGGCCCCAGCCAGCGACCCCGGGCACCCTCGGCCGCTCCCTTCCCCGCTGTCACTGGCTCCCAGGTGCCGTCACCAAAGACGCCCTGCAGATGTCTTTTTATTTAAAATACAGAAATAACCATTTGCTTTTAGGGTATATTGTTGTGACGTATGTAAGGTATTCTTCCCTTAGCCCAGGGACAGCCACTGTTAACCTGAACTTTTTAAATTTGAATGTGGCAAGATCTACCTTATTCTCCTTAAAGGCTGCGCAGCATGTCATTGAATGCACCTGAACTCATTTAACCAATTTGCTTTCAGTGGACATTAGACTGCCTCCAGTTCCCCAGTGCGATAAACGAGGCTACCCCAGCGAGCCGTGGGTGGAGAATGCATGTACACGTGTGCTCCCGGTACACGTGTCCTTAGTAAGGGCCCACGGGTGGTGCTCCTGCAGGCCTCCCAGAGCCGACTCCCACTGCACAGGGTGGTGGTGACCCCCCCTCGCCAGTGTCTGAGAGCACCGATTCTCCCATGTTCTCATCGGCTTTATCACCTTTTTAACTCTTTGCCAAACAGGTAAGTAGAAAAAGTTAAGGGGGAAACTGCATCTTGCTCTTCATTGGCATTTCTGTGATAAAGCGAACAAAGCTGAGCATTTCTTTCTAAACGTGTTTGCATTTACATTGCTTCCGTTAACGTCACTTACACACGATGGAAAATCTGGCCCCTGGTGTCCCCTCCCATGCTGCCGCGCCCAGCCTGGCCCGGTCCCGCCCCCACCGACCGCATCGGTCAGTCTTCCCCACGCAGACAGTTCTACCTCCACTCCAGACCACTCTCCTTTCCCCACCCGAGCACGGCAAATGTCTCTGATTAAATGGATAACCTGAAATCCGAAAACACTTGCATCACCTCACCTGAATATAACCACTGTTAACGTTTCCATACATGTCCTTTCAGTCCACGGATATCCCCCTTCAACACTCTTGTGACCGTACTGCGTGTATAAGGTTGAGTCATGCTTTTTGCTTGAGCATCTTAACAAGGTCCTTTGTCCCATGTCATCATGACTCCCCGACTTTTACACACTTGCCAAGCGCCTCCGACGGCCCCAGCGCTGGCTGCTGGACCAGGGCCTTGGGAATCTGGCCCCAGGCTGCCTCTCTCCACTCACCCCTTGCCTCTCCCCCGAAATCTGACCTACATCCCCTCCCGTCAGACTGCCTGCCGTTCCCAAACCACACACTTTCAATCTCCCTGTCTTTGTCCCAGCTGATCTCTCTGCCAGAAAGAACCTTCTACTCTTTGGTGCCTGAGGAAATCCGCCACTAACTTTTGTCCCATTACGGCTGCCCCCCCTTGTCCCTGGGGAACATGTTCCAGTTTTCTCTGTGGATGCCTGAAACCGTGGGGAGTACCAAATCCTTCCACACGCTATGTTTTTTCCTATGTATGCATACCTATGACAAAGTTTAATGTATAAATTAAGCAAAGAGATTAACAACAGTAACTAATAGAATAAAATGATTATAAATATATACTATCATAAAAGTTTTGGGGATGTGGTCTCTGTCTCAGCGATTTTCAACTTTTCATCTCAGGGCACACGAACCAATTACTAAAATTCTGCAGCACACCAAAAAATATTTATTTTGCTGATCTGACCAAAAAAATAGGTAGAATTTTGATTCATTCACACCCAACAGCTATTGTTTTGTTGGCTGTTGTCTTTTTTTCTTTTTTTTTTTGATAGCCTAAGGGAAAAGAGGTCGGTGCCCCTGACTAAATACCCAGGTATGGCACGTTTTAAACATTCCTGCGGCACACCGGTTGAAAATCGCTGCTCTCCAGTGTGGGCAGAGCGGGGACGGCCCAAGATGTCATCTGGCCACTCAGAACACCGCACACTATAAAAGTTCTGAATTGTTCATTTCTGGAATTTTCCAGCAAATGCTCATTTTTGGCCGTGGGTTGACCACAGCTGACAAACTAAGGGCAGTGAAAGCCTGGGTGGAGGTGGGGTGGGGGCAGGGACCTGGGGCTGTGGCACCACCTCCTCAGGGCAGAATGACAGTGACACTCCCGGTGCAGCACTCCCAGGCTGCCCACTGTCTCGTCAGCCCCCGTAGGCCTACGCACTTTTAAACACAGGTCCTGTTGGTCACCGTAGCCACAGTTCAATGCCTCGTTCAAAACAGGCCCTTGGGGAATGATGGTTGAATTAAATCATCTACCGAGGCCCAAAACACTATGCTAGGCCTGGAAAAGATTTAAAAAGACATAACATAGTCCCTGCCTGTGAGACTCCGCAGTCTCCCTAATTCATGATTGCGACCATTCCTAATCATGTATAATTAATAAGACGAGAACGAGGCCAGCCCTGTCTGTCCAATCAGGTAAGGACAGAGGAGATGAATGAATCACTAATCATCTCACTAGTGAAGTGAGATTAAGGTGGAAATAACTGCCCTTGAGTATCTGCCAGGTGGCTGGCACTGAGAGCTGCCTCTCGGCGATGGTAATTGTCTTCCGTTTAAAGATGGGGCGAACGCAGTTCCGAGAGGTTGGGAAACTGGACCGAGGCCACACAGCAAGGAGTGGAGCCAACGTTCCAACATTCGCTCTCCGTCACCCAAGTAGGTTGTTTCTCCCCGAGATCACCCGCCCTAAACGAGCATCCAGGGGGGTTGGGAGGGTGAGCGGGGACCCTGGTGGTCAGAATACCCTGGAGAGTGGATCGGCATGCAGCCCAGGGTGGGAAACTGTGGCTCGGCACACCCCGCCCTGCCCGGTCTCAACCAGCCACACCTGGGGCAGGGAGGCCAGTGCTGGCTCCCAAACCTGGAGCCCAGCTCCGGGGCCAGGCCAGGTGGGGTGAGTAAGACCCAGCCTCACGGGCAGGAGGGCACGTGTTGCGGCCGCTCCCAGTGGTCTCGTCCACTCGGGGCACTGGGTGTGCAATGCTTCCTGGGCGCAGCAGGGCCCCCTGAACCCCAAGGCCCCGGAAGCTCCCACATGGCTCAGAGGTGGAAGACAGGCTGGAGGTATGTGGCTGACTCAGGGGCACCGCCACCCTGGGAAAACTGAGACACCACCGGGTCGGGGGCAGGGCAAGGGCCTGTTGCTGCCCCTCTCGGAGTCACGAGCTTGCAGCCGGTCATGGGGTCCCGTGGGTATTTGAGGACACACTCTGGGCAGTGAGCAGTGTGGTCTAGGGTCTGTCCTTGGGGACAGAGGCATCCGACGGGGCCACAGGTTCTGGGGTCTGGGGAGCCTCGGGGACCTCAGAGGTGACAGTGCTCGGGGCTGGCCGAGGGAGCCTCAGGGTGGGCGCTGGTCCCTGGGGCAGGAGAGGGGCTTCTGTGAATACCGGTGGGTCATCCAGCCGGGGGGCAGCCGGGGAGAGACACACGGGCTGCAGACAGGAGGGAGGAACCCCAGGCAGGGCTGCAGCCCCCAGGGACCTGCAGCAGCCCTGTGGCTGCTGGGTCCACTGCCTGGGTGGCCAGCGGGCCTGGGGCAGCTGGGTGTCAGCTGAGACCTTACCAGGAGAGCAGAAGACAAGCTCTTCCGGGCTCCTGAACCCAGTCTGACCGCAAACGCGGCCCTGGCGCTGTGGCCTTCAGGGTGAGGGACACATTCCAAGCAGCTCAGAGAGGGTGGTGCCTGCAAGATCTGGGCCTCCTGTCTGTGCCCAGTCACCTGCACCTGCAGCCCCTACCTGCAAGCCCCCCCAACCTACCTCCACTCCCCTTTGCAAGCTGACATCTCTGCGTTCAAAATCACCCCCTCCCAGAGGGAAATCCCCTGGTAACTCCAAGAGCGGGGCCCAAGACTTCCGTGTCCCCATCACGCCCGAGACCACGCAGGCAGTGCTGCCTTTCACAGCTTTGTCCCCTGCGGCCCTCATCTCCTTCAGAACGGGCCCTGCCTTTCTCTGTGTCCCCAGAATGAACGAAGCGCTATGAGCAAGTCCCCTCAGTTCCTCCACGTCCTCCAAAAGGACAGTAATACTCTTCTCTGGGGCAGGAATCTGGGCGGAAGCCAGGACAACTGTGAATTTGCCCTCAGTGATCCTAGTTCGCCTCGAATCTAGGGGAAGCAAAATCTAGGGTGCAGCCATGGCTGTGAAGGTGGGATTTAAAAATGCTCAAGGAGCAGGCCATCACTGACCCCCACGGCCACGTCACCACCGCGGAGTCCCCACGGCTCAGCCCCCATCTGAGAAGATGAGCCTGGAACTGGAAGGGACCCGACCGGCCCCTCTCTCACCGCCTCTCTCTGGGTACCCGACCTCAGAGGCCTCTGATGATTTTTCTGCTGTGTGTCTCGTGCCCTGGTCACCTCACCTGAGAGACAGACACTGCCTGTCATGGGTCTCCTGCTCCTGGAACTGCAAGTTCAGTGGCCCAGTTCATGGGGGGAGGTTGATGGTGACCGAGGCTTCCCTGTCCCGGCCCCAGCTCACCAGCCGGGTGGGGGGCACAGGGAAACCCCTCTCTGTGTAAGTGGCCCTTGGCTCACCTCTTTTCCGGCCTCTCCCAAGTCCCTCTGGGAGGACCCAGGGCACCCACCCAGCGCTGCTGCTTACAGGCCACCCTCTCCCAGGCCCCGGACACCCCAGGATCCAGCCAAGAACTGGGTCAGGCGCCCCTACAGAGCAGAAAAAGGGGGACTGTACCTGCCCCGGATGTCGTCCCCACAGTCGCTGTGGAGGAGGGAATGTGGCCAAGCTGGGGGAGCGCTGCCGACTCCCGGTGTCCAATGGCGGGGTCTGTGAGCAAAGATCAAGAGCGAGTGTGAGGGGACCCACAACTGCCCCGCCTCTGACACACCCGCCAGGCCTGGCAGAAGTCCCGCCAGGCACTGCCAGGCCAGCCTCCAGCACAGTGACCGCACCCAGGAGGGCGCCCGGATGACTGTACTCTGGCCTGCGCCAGCCACGGGAGAGGGACTGCTGTGTCTTTAACTCTCCCGACAGCTCTGCCAGGCAGGAGACGTTGTTCCTGTTTTACAGCGGAAGGGGTTTCTTTGGGGCTGATAAAAATGTGTCAAATGAGATAGCGCTGATTGGACAATCCCGTGACTGTACTGAAACCCACTGAACCGGACACTTCAAAAGAGTGAATTTTAAGGTATGTTAATTGTATCACACCCGAAAAAGCTGTTACCAAAAAAAAGGAAAAGAAAAGAAAAGAAAAGAAAAGAAAAGAAAAGAAAAGAAAAGAAAAGAAAGGAAGGGAACGAGGCCTGCTACAGAGGAGACATGCTACACAAAGACCCAGAAGGACCGGGGGCACCAGGTGACAGCCGGCTCCCATGCAGTCACGGTGACAGTGAGGACAGTCCCTAATATCTGGTGGGTGTTTCCTCGGTGCCAGGGGCTCTGCTGGACCGTCACAGACGTCCTCATGCCGTCTTCAAAGGTGCCCTAGGAAGTGGGTCATCAGTTGGACTTTGTGAAATCCATTTCCCAGAGGAGGAAGAGGAGGCTCGGACACGCTGCCCACCCATTTCTAGCCAGTGTTAAAGTCTGTGTGAGTCTAAAGCGATGCTTTCAGCCACTTTGTCGTCATTTGCCGATAACTAATTCCTGTTGCTAATTGCTGATGCCCCGAGGCCGCTTTAAAGAGCTCCCAGAATTAAAATAAACACTGCTCCAGGACTCAGTTACCCTCAGACTGGAAGTGCCTCCTTAGGTCCGTCCTCAGTGTCTCCTGCTGCCAAGCAAACCCATTTCCCATCCCCGTCTGGCCCTGGTGGGCCGAGGGCTTGTGGGGAGGACCACCACGCACCGTAGAAGCAGATGAATGGTCGCAGGGAAGAGCAGGCCTGTGAGTAAACTCTGGGGGCGTAGCTGTAGTATGTGCCAAGCCCCGCACACAATCCTGTCCCGAATTGGGGCACCTGCAGCCATCTGGGAATGCTGGTGCCCTGGCCGCTGGACCAGCTCAGAGACCCAGAGGCTGCGTCCAAGTAAAGGCCAATCCAGGCCTCCGTCTCACTGGTGATGGACCTCAGGGCCCCCTTGGCGTCCGCGTCAGTCACCGTTTGCAGGTCAGCCAGGTCCGTGTGGTGGGCACGGCAGCTCAGCAGAGCCGCCAGCCACGTCGCTCCTCGGTGAAACCGCCTGAAGGTCAGCTGGCCGATCTGGACCACCACTGGGGGCCAAGAACAGAGACCACACAGCTGTGATCCCCAGCAGTGGAGGTTTGGAGAGGGTGTGCTTTGGCACTGCCAGAGCGATTGATTCCGGAGACCGGAGAAAGGGAACACCTCTGTTTGCAGAATTAGGAGTCACGGCCTCAGATGCACATGGACCCCCCCCCCCAACTGTCCGGCCCACACCCATTCCCCAGAGCCCATCGGGCTTTGCCTGGCAGTCCCTCATTTTCTCTCTCTAAACTGGCGTTTAAAGCTACCCGTCATTCAGCACCGCCCGAGCAATGTGCACACTCACCACGCGACTAACTTATAACGGAGGAGAAGAGAAAGGCTGGGAGCAGGGAGCTGGGAAATGTCCACCCGGCACAGGTCAAGTTGGGAGTGTGTTTCCTTTGTCGTGCAATTTCTCTACCCCAGAGGGGCAGGGGGGAAATTTTTAAATACCAGGGCAGTGATATCCAGAGGGGAAAGCCCCCCTCACCAGACAGATGGGCCTGGGCTGGGAGGAGCTGGCACCTGTGCCCTCACCCCCAAGCCAGTGAGGTGGGGGGCATCCAAACTGCCGGGAGGCAGCCTGAGCTCTGCCACAGTCTAATTGGAGGCCTGGATCAAGTCACCTCCCGCTCTGGGTCCATGTAATAATAAAGGCACCGACTCTCTCCAGGGGCTGCAGCCCGGGGGGGCGGCAAAGCAGGGAGGGGATCCCTCAGCCAGGTGGAGGGGAAGGCGGGGCTCCTGGTGCTTACCTGGCTCTGCAGAGGTGCTCAGGCTGAGAGCGGGCTCCACCAGGTGGTGCTGCCCCTTGTCCGGATCTGGAAAACAGAAACAGCGCGGTTACCGGGCAGGAGCGGGCTGCGGGGCATCCCCCGCAGGCACCGAGAACTGCCACGTTGAAGCTGGGAGAAGCCTACCTCAGGTTAGGCCCTTTGTCCCTATTTATGTTTATTTAATGAATATATATTTATGGAGGAGCTTCTACGGTGTGGTAGATGCTATTCTAGGCCCTAGAAAAAGAGCGGAAATAAGACAAGCAGGATCTTTGCTGTCAGAGAGAACACAAGAAGGAGCCGGCCTTCCGGAGAGGTGGGAAGGGAGGCCCCAGCCAGGCCAGGGCCAGGTCCTAAGGTGGGAAGGGGCCACGTGGGTTCGAGAGGCAGAAAGTGACCAGTGTGGCCAGGGAGAGAAATAGGAGATGAGGCCACAAAGATGAAGCAGGGCCTGGTGGCTATCAGAGGGGTGTAACTCTAAGAGCCCCGAGGACCCAGGAATGTGTTTCAGCTGAGTGGTCTGGTTTACATTTTGAAGAGTTCATTGTTTCAGCAGAGAAGGGAGAAGAGGGTGGAGTCAGACATCTAGGTGAAGCCCTAAGACACCGGAGGGCAGGTGGGGAAGTGCCTCGCACACCCTTCCTTGGCGGGGCTCCCATCCTCACCCACCACTCCCACTGCATTCGAAATCCTAACTGAAACCTGGGCCCCCGTGGGCTACAGTTCAAGGCCCCCGGGCAGGCGGGGTGGAGAACAGGGACTCATCACTTCAGTCCTCTGTGCCTCTGTGGGAGGGGTCGGGGTGCTATGGTGTTGAGCTGGCCATAGCACCCTTCCAGGGTGCTATGCGCGAAAAGTGGAAACTGGACGTTCTCACCAGGAAAGTGCTCCCTGGTCTATAACCGTCCCCCACTGTGATCTCAGACAGAGGTCAGTGCAGCAGGCCGCCTGGGCAACAGGGACAGTTGGAAACACAGAGGCCAGCACCTCGTGCATTGAACACTGATGGTGGATTCCCTGCAGAGACGCCCCCAGGAGCCGGCTGCACCCTCCTACTTCCCAGAAGCAGGGGTCCCCCAGGGAGTGACTGTCCCACACTCCCCACCCACATGAGACAAAACCACCCTGTGATTTATGTGAGAAGGTGCCAGGCCTTGAATTGTCTCCTTTCTGCATGGGTGCAAGTGACCCCCCCACACTGTCTTTGCCTTTCTCCTCCCTTTCTTCTTTCTCTTCCCCTAAACCTTTCATTGGCAGAAGATGGGGACAAAGTGGAACTTTCCAGATTTTACTTTTTCTCTACCCTGATTCATAACCGTTTCTCAGAAGGGATAGAAATCAAGGCCGCAGAGAGGAACGTGGCAAATGGGGCTAAGGTAATAGTTATCCTCGGAAAGACCTGAGCTCCCTCGCTTTCATTTGCTCTCGAAGAGCCGCCCAGAATGCGGCCAGGAACACACCGTAGTAGCAGATGAAGGGCTTCTGAGCTGTACAGGAGGCGGCGCCCAGGCCGGGGACAATGCTCACGGAGTACAGCGTGGCACAGATGCCCTCCTTGAAGATGGGCAGCGCGCTCCACACGGGGATGCTGAAGACGGAGCCGCTGGACCACCTCAGGCTGCCCAGGTTCACGTCGAAGAAGAGGCCGATCCACGCCGAGGTGCTGCGGGTCAGCCTGTAGAGGGCCGTCACAGCGCCCCAGCTGTTCAAGCTCTGCAGGTCGGCCAGGTCTGTGTGGTACGTCCGGCAGTGCCGCAGGGCGTCCAGCCAGCTCAGCTCCTCCTCCACCCTCAAGAAGGTCTTGTCGCTGCTCACCAGCTGCAGGGCTGGGGCAGGAGAGGCTGTCACCGAATGGCCACGTCCACCCCAACCCCACTCCTAGTCCCCAGAGACCTTTCGGCCAGGCCCCAGGCAGCCCTCCCCAGCCTCCTCTCTCCCGACCCACCCCCCGGCTGCCGGCCCTCCAGGAGCCCACAGCTCTGTCTCCAGGCCCTTGCACAGCTGCCCTCTGGGCGTGGAAGGACTGGCTACCCCCTTGTGCTCCCTCCATGCCCCCCATCCCCTCATCTCCCCCTTCCTTTTGCCCAGCTAACTCCTCGCCCCTCCACCCCATGCTGGGTGGGTAGGTGCCCGACCTCCGTGCCACAGTGCCCCTCAGTTTGTGCTGGGTAACAACAGATCCACTTACTGAGCACCAGTGATGTGCCCTCAGCTCCTTGAGCCCTTCCAACAACGCCCTAGACTACCAGCACTGAGCCTGTTTGAGAACTGAGGAAACCGGGACCAGAGTTAAGTGACTCAGCCAAGACCACCCAGTGGGAAGGGGCAGAGCCAAGACGCGGGGACCACGGGTGTGGTGGCTTCCAGGCCCAGACCCTGAGTCACCCGTGGAACTGCCCGTAGTCTACAGGGGCTGGGCACTGGGGCTGCACGGCAGAATCACCTGGGGAGCCCTTCACATAGGCTGCTGCTCAGGCCACGCTGAGCAAGGATCTGGGTTTTCTGGGGCCAGCATCAGAACGTCTAAAAAGCCCCGGCCAAAGGACCTTTTTGCTCATATGTCTCCACCACCAGGTCCAGGCAACTTGGGAGCAAAGAATATGCCATATTCATCCTTATATTCTCAGCTCCCAGTACTTTAGAAGGTCCTGATGTGTTGAAAATGAATGAACGAATGAATGAACGAACAAGCTACCGAGGAAATCAAACTGGAAACCAACCCCATGACCTCCACGTTCGCTTCCTTCCTGACTCCGTGCCCTTGCCAGGGTCCCAGCAAATAGGGGCTGCTCAGGGCTACTCTGCTTTGCCCAGGTGCCCTGTGCTGGGGGGAGGGGAGGGTGGTCAAGGGGCATGAGGGCCTGGGGCAAGGTTGCTGGGGGTCCTGGGCCCTGAGGAACCAGCCTCCAGCCAGAGGCCCTCGGAGAGGAAAGTCAGACAGAAGAACCATGTACACAGAATATCCCGTGTACACGGGGTCGGGGAAGACAGGAAGAAGGACCAGGAAGGCGCCTGCCAAAAGCAACGGAGCCCCTCACACCCACCAGAGTTCCAGAAGCTTCCTGTCGCCAAGGAGAATTGGAGAATCACTGTGTTGGAGAAAGCGAATAGAAACAAGGATTACTCTTATGGTGTGAGATTCACGTTGATAGCACTACCCCATTCCGTTTGATTGTTCAAAATCGCTGGCCGTGGCCCACCAAGGCAATGGATGTCAGGTTCTAACGAGACACCCGGGCCCCGCTGACCTCCTGGCGCCACACAGTGTCCCGAGGCCTCCCAGACTCTGCCCTCTGCCACCAAGCCCCACCCATGTGTCCCTCTGGCTGTCATTCTGTCCATATGACTCACCCTCCAGGCTTCTCTGTCCTGGTCCCCCCAGCGCAGTAAGGGGCACCCCTGGCTCAGCATCTCCAGGCCCAACCCAGGAGTCACCGTGGGTCCCTCCCTTTCTTTCGTTCTTGACATCCAGTCCCACAGCAAATATGGTCAGGTCTGCAGCCAACATGTCTCTCAAACCTTGAATTTTCCACTTCTTTCCAGGCCCACTGCCACCCTGGCCCAAGTCACTGGCCTCTCTCTCTGGGACTCACAGCCCCAGCCCCAGTGGGTCCCTCTGTGCCGCCCCCACCTGCTGTGGTCAGAAGGACCTTTCTAACACACTCCTTCTGGTCACCCAGATTATTTCCTTCACCGGACGTCACCTTCCGCCGTAATTGTATTGACTACCGCCTTGCCAAATGGCATCTGGGCAAAGCCAGGCACTTGCCAGACACTTAGCAAATACCTGCTCGTTAGATGCATCAGTGAGGATGTGAGTGAACGGAGGCCCGGACCAGCAGGCTCTAGGCTGTGCACCCTGGACCCTGCACCCGAGGAGGGGAGGGTGAGAGGAGCAGCCGGTGCCTGAGCCCACCAGCCTGGGCTGAGGGCTCGTCACCAGGCCTGGGCTCGCGGCTGGAAACACTGCTTTCTACTCTGTTTCCCTCTCAGCCTGCAAATCTGGGAACCTCGGGAACGGCCCCCTTCCCTCAGACTCCAGCCCTGGGTGTGCTCGGAGTTGGGCGTGTGCACGCACATGCATGGGGGGAGGGGGCCTTACCGACTGCACACAGGGACGCTTGCAGCCCCGGGGCCACCATGGCTGCAGCACAGGACAGGCGGCGGCAGAGAGGCTCCTCACCTCTGCAGAGGCTGCGCCTGGTCTTCTGTCCCTTCGGCCCTGCTCTCCACGCCCCTCCCCTTTCCGACCCCCGCTGACAGATTTTACTACACAAATACCGTTCGGTGCCCACTGCCGGCCAGACACTGTGCAGGGCTGGGGGTGCAGCCAGAGGAGAGCAGGAAAGATGCCTGTCCACCTGCAAGGGACAGGGGAGGCAGCGGGGGTCAGGAAACAGGAGCAGGGACAGGGGACGCGAGCCCCACTCCGGGGCTGGCCGCTGGGGCGCTGGGCAGTGGGCGGCAGAGGGCAGGCTAGGTGAGGCCTCTGGGGTCCCCAGGGGCAGAGGGGCAGGTGTGGAAGGAGGGAAAAGTGGGGAGTCAGAGGCACGGGCGTGTGCGGGCCAGGCTGGGCCGAGTCTCCCCGCCCCCTGCCCTCATGGCAGCCACACGGCCCACCGGGACAGGCCAGCGTGGCCCCCACCCGACAGGGGAGAAGGCTGTGGCCCAGAGAAGCGGACGACTTGCTGAAGATGTGGTGGGAAGGAGCAGGAGAACAATTCCAACTGAGGTCACTGGGCAGCACCAGGTGGGGGTGGGGGGATGGTCCCTACAGGGTGACCAGAGCCTCCCCCCCCCACACAGGTCTGGACTGTCCTCTCTGACAGGCACAGACCAGAGCCAAGGCATGCCCCCTTCGCCCTCCTCCCTGCCCTCCCTCCCCCAACATCCTGTTTATGCACAGAGCTCTCTCCAGCCCCCCAGGGCTAAGCTTTTGGGAACCAAAGCCTGGAAGACTTTATTCTGCCCTTCGCCCTTCACACCCTTCCCGAAGGAAAGGGCAGAGAGGAGGGGAAAGAATTGCTAATGCTTCCACAGCAGCATCCTGCCAGAATAGTCTCTTGTGCGTTGATGGCCTCAGATGACTTCATCCCAGTGGTACCGCCCCCTTGTGCCTCAGCCTCTGAGGGCCACCCGCTGGGGACAGAAGAGCACCCGGCAGTCCGGCCTGAAAAACACCACCCCTGCCAGGACCCTGTCGCTCGGCCACTCGGCCACTTGGCCATTCACCCAGGTGTCCTCACCTCTCTTGCCTTAAGGGCCCCAAGTGGCACCCGGGCGTGGGGTGGGGACTCTGCCACCTGGAGGGCCAGCCCGGCCTGTAGGCTGTGAGCTCCTTGAGGGCAGGTGCCACGCCTTGGACACAAAGCACTCGCTCGACGCCAAGGACGGCAAAACCTCTCAGTCTGGGGTCGGCGTCAGGGTTCATATTAGGAGAACTTGCAATCCTTATTCTCTTAGGGTTTCCACGCCTGCCCGGGACCCTGTCTCGTGCCCAGCGATCCTGAATGCCCGGCAGGGGGTCGGGGGTCCCTGGTGAGGAGGGGAGGAGGACAGCCCTTTTTCCCAGGATGTACATGCCACTGTGTTGGGTCAGGAAGCCCAGGCAGGGTACCCAACGGAGGGAGAAGGAAGCAGCGGGCTCCCTCGGTGGCCCAGGAACAAACATGGTTTGCATGGGCCACAGGAAGTAAAGGGGCTCACGGAACCTTGGTAGCATCCTCCCCACTCCCACCCCACCCCACACCCTGCAGTGCAGGCCTACCAGGCGCACTTGCCCAGCGCCTGACAGACCCTTCCTCCAGACCGGCCAGGGCCCCGGGGGGAAGCCGCCCTTCCCACACCGGCTCTGCCAGAGCAGGCGGGGGGCGCTTTCCGAGAAGGGGTGGCCTGTGACTGTCTGGGGTCCTTGTTAGAGATGCTCCCTGTGGCCATGGGCAAGCCTGAATCCCCAGGCAGTTGGTCCATATGTATTAAATAAGTGAATGACTCATTTATTGTCGTTGATCTCCTGATGTGGGCGTGACCTGTTGAAGTCTGTGGGGCCCCGTGGGGCCATTTTTGCCCAAGGGGAAGGTTCTATGACACCTCCGAACAGCAGGCCCCCCACCGGTGGGCCTGTGTCCCCCCCGAGGCTGCTATTTGAGGCCTCTCCTTGGGGCCACTGGGTCAGGGGGGAGGGATGGAGCCCCCTCTGCATTGTACAGGGGGCTTCATGTGGACATGTGTTTGTAACCCTGATTTTATGAGTGTCAGGTGGGAAATGCAAACTCGGGACATGGGCTGCGTGTTTGGGGCAGTCCCTCCACAAGAAAGGTGGTGGCCCCAGTGCCGTGACGGTGGAGCTCTGGGGAGGAGGCTGAAGGTGCAGCTGGGCAGCCAGCCTGCCTGGGCCACCGTCACAGCGGCCGCACCAGGCTGTCACTGCAGAACAGTTCAGCTCTGAGTCCACCCGCTTCTTCATCTATAGCACAGAAGTAATGATAGTGCCTACCTCTTGGCATAGTTGTGTGGATGAAATAAACACTCAAAATGCTTAGCGAAGGCACTATTTTATTGCAATGATTCCCCATATCCCTGTAGGTGAACCCTTGAACTAGTTCAACCTGCAAGCAAGTCCGGCAGGGTCTCCAGGAAATCGCTGACCCTTAGAATCCAGGTCCATGGGCCCAGCCTCCCTCTCCAGGATGAGCAAAGTCCCTCCTTAGCAATGGGACGGCCCAAGGTCTCCTGTGCCTGGGCCGCCCCATTCTGCCACAGGGGAAGGATGCCACGTAGCACCGGCAGCCTGCACGCCCGTCTGGTGTTAACCAAGCTGGGAACAGGCGCAGGGGGGCAGCGGCAGGCAGCGAGGCTGGGTGGGGTCTGTACTCCTGAGAGCGGGTCTGAGAACGAGCTCAGCGGGGGTGGAGACAGGAGAGCCGTGGGGGTCAGGGGCTGTGTCCAGGGAATCTGAAAATGGGGCATTCCCTCCCGGAAGACTGGGAGGTACGGGCACACGCAGGCACACCCTGTCTGACTGGCTGTTGCTTTATGGTGCTTCACAAATGTTGCGTTTTTGACATTGAAGCCAAGACGCTCCACCAGCAAAAGGCTTAGAACCTGGAAGCTGAGGGGGACGGACAGGAGGAAGGGAGTTGTGGCTCAGAGATGACACGATGGGTCGAGAAGGCAGGAGAGACGTATCATGGTGATAGTTCATTTTATGCGTCAACTGGACTAAGCCACCGGGTGCCCAGATATCTGGTTGAAGTTTATTCTCACGTGTCTGTGAGGGTGTTGCTGGATGAGATGAACCTTCGAATAGACAGACCGAACAAAGCAGATTGCTCTCCCTGATGTGGGGGGGCTCCATCCAATCTTCGTAGGTTGTGAGTAGAGTTAAAGGTGGAAGAAGAAAGAATTCTCTGTGTGTGTGTGACTGTGTTAGAGCTGGGACCTGGGTCCTTTGTCCTTGGACTGGGACTTGCGTCATCGTCTTTCCTGGGACTCCGGCCCACCAATGGCAGACCGTGGGACTACACAACCCCGTTAGCCAGCCCCTGGTAATAAATCTCTTTATAGAGAGGTGGACAGACAGATCTCCTGTTGGTTGTTTCTCTGGAGAGCCCTGACACAGGGGGGACCAAGTGGAAGGTGAAACAGAAGGTCTGTGGAATGTTCTAGAGGCCTGGCAGGAAGGGAGCAGGGGGAGGTGAGCAAGTGGGGTCGCCCATGAACGTGACCAACCCTGGCCGGCACTGCCTCTCCCCGCTGTGGGCTTCGGGGCCCCCACCGTCCTCACTCTCTGAGCACTGGGAGCCGAGGCACCTCTGTGCACACACCCCAAGGGCCGGGACAGTTGTGACTGTCCCGTGACAGGCCCCCCTCGGAGGTACTGTGGGTTCAGCCCCAGACTGCCGCAACAAAGCGAGTCGTAATCTTGTTTGCAGAGGAGGGTCTTGCCCTCAGTTTGTAAAAAATGTGACATCGGTATAAAGCGCTATAAAGCAAGGTGTGGCTGTACCGGCTGAGACAGGAGCCCACAGGACCTCTGAGGACAGGAACGTGTCACCTGCAGCTCCTCTGAAGTGGGAAGTATCAGCGCAACGCGCACACAGCTCGGAGGATGTGCAGATCTGAGCCCGGGCAGAACCGCTAAGAACTGTGCACGGCCGGGTGAAGGTGAACTTGGGTCAGAGGGAGCCGAGCAAAAGCGTTCGGTGCGCAGGATGCCTGAGCTGGGGGCTGTGCTGGATGGGAGATCCCCTTCGTCTGCCGGAGACAGGTAGGGATTTGGTCACCGGCCGGGGCCCAGCGTGGAGGGGAGGTCCCTCTGACTGCAGAGGGACCATGTCCTTTCCAGAGGCCTGGGCTGGCGTTGGCGCTGGGACAGTCTTCATGTGGTGGCCGCGTGGCCCTGCCTGGCTCTGTGCTGGGGATCAGAGAGGAGCCTGGGTCTAGAGGACCAGGGTCCTGGGAAGCTGTCAAGGCCGGGGTGGGGCCCAGAAGAATCCGGCAGAGAGCCCGCTCCCAGAGCCGGGCCCCGTCCTCCCTGGGGCCCCCTCAGCACACGGGCCATTTGCCACATTGTACATGTGATTGTGTTGTCACTGCTATTGGCCCCGTCAGCGACGGGTTCCCAGGGGCCAGGACCATGCAGAGTGCTCAGCACATAGCAAGTGCTTGCTGAACATGTCCTGAACCATCAGGGGACTCGCTGTGGTCCCCCTGCATAGGGACCCTGAGCTCGGTGCTCAGAGCCCTGAGCCTGGGCGAGGTGGCCCAGCAGTGAGGCATGGGGCTGAGAACCAGGCAGGCCCAGGCTTCGCGGTTGCCGGGTTGGACTGTCATTGTCACCGTGTTTAGAGGAGGCAGGACACCAGCAGGGAGTCACTTCTGTTTAATCACTAATTAGCTACAAAGAAAGTAACACTCGCTTCAGGGGGCGCAGCACACGCGTGTGGCTTGCTTCGGTGTTTGAGTCAGCGCCAGCGGTCCTCCAGGGAGCGATTTTCACACGCGCTTTGCCACCCAGAGGAGGATGTCATGGCGCCTCCCCTCTCCACTTTAGGCGGAGCCCAGGGTCCCCAAGGACCCCTCTGTCACAGGGCCTGGTGCCTGCCTCAGGCGAGGGAGGCCTGCAGGGCCTTCTGCAGATGGGCCTGGGAGGGGCTGGGACTGTGGGATTATAAAGCCCCGGGCGAACAGGATCGTTATTACAACCTGTCTCCACATCCGAGCCCATCGGCCATCCAGGGGGGAAAGAGGTAGATCTCTAACTGGAGGTCACATCTAGGAAGATGTTTAATCCCAGCCCCAGTGTCCACCGTAACCTCGCCTCGTGGACCTTCTCGGCCACCTCCTCCTCACACTGAACGCAGGAGAACACTCACACAGGTGTGAGGCGCTAGGGTGGCAGAGGTGGACCACCTGCTCCTTCAACCCACTTCCTCTCATTCTTGGGAGAAGCTCGGCCAGCCTCCTTTGCAGCTGGGTGTGGCCTGGTGGTTGTGTTCTAGCCACAGAAAGGAGGGGCGGAGTGAGGCTGGCTGCTCCCAGGATGAACGCTGGAATCCTCCCGGTGACCCTCCGTGACCACCATGCAGAAAACACCATTGAGGGCCAGCTCAGCCGTAGGGGTCACAGTGCTGACCCCTGTGCAGTTTTCAGTCCACTTTTGACCCCCCCGAACTAAAACTCACAGTCTACTGTTGGCAGGAAACTTTACCCATAATGTAAACAGTTGGTTAACATATTTTGCATGTTATGTGTTTATACACTGCGCTCTTATAATAAAATTAGACAAAAGAAAACACCATTAAGAAAATGGTAAGGAAAATGTATTTACAGTACTGTACATATTTATGGACAAAATCTGCATGTAAGGGACCCCAGTTTGAACCTGTGTTGTGCAACTATAACTCCCCAACACGGGCCACCCAAAGAGGTCGCCACTCAGTGTCATCGCTTCCGTGACAAATGGGAATCTGGAGGTGTCCGTGCTAGAGAAGAGGCTGTTAGGGACTAGGGTGGCACCTGTGGACAGGTTTCAGGCACAGAGGCCAAAAGAGCCAGGAGTATATGACCACCGTCCTCCATCCAGACGCCACCCAGAGAGGGAAAGGGAGGCCAGCCAGGCGCGGCAGCCCCAGGATCTGTACTTGGCAGAAGCCCGGGAGCCTCTGGCTGTCCGCGTCTCTTTATCTCCGTAACTGCTGGCTTCGGGGCGCCCTGGCAAACAGGTCCTTGTCATGGGGACAGGCAGGAGAAAAAAGGCCCGAGACCCTCACACAATACATTCATGTGACTTTTTCCCTACCGTTAGCCATGCTGAAGTCACTGGAGATTTGCATTTATCTGTTCAGAATGTTACCTTTTGTTCCTAAAATAGAGGTATAGAAGCTCCCGGGATAGAAACTGGGTAGTTTTTCCATAGAAACCATATAATAGGATTATGATTCTAGCCAAGGTTGGACACACCATTTATAGAAAGGATCAGAAAGCTCACGGGAACCAGCACGTCAGAGAGCAAAGGGGACATCCCGCGCGGGGTGAAGCTTCGTGTGGCGCCTGCCCATCGGTCAAGCAGGACTGTGCCTACGCCAGCATGTTAAGTCCCCAAAAGGTGTGTGATATTGTGGCAGGTTCCCTGGGGCCAGGAACCGGGGGTCCCTGGCTGCAGGCAGCACCCCGACGGGGCGCAGTGCTGCCAGCGTGGGGTGAGAGCCAGTCACCCGGGTCAGGGCAGGCCGAGGCTGACCGGAGACCACAGCCGCCAGGATCCTGGGGACCTTAATGAGACACTGTGCCCCAGTCCAAGGCTTTAGGGCACTGGGTTGCCGGTGGCCATGCCGGCAAACTACAGCTGCTCTCAGAGTGGCCTTTCCGTTAGTAACCCCTGCCCACCACACCCCCAGGGGCTGCTCCCCATTAGCACTGCACCTGTGTGGCTTTGCGCCACGCTCTTCCAGGGTGATGAGAAAAAGCAGGAGATGAGACTGGGTGGCAGGGGGAAGGGACAGGGCCAGCCCTGCAGACAGGACAGGGAATCAGAAATCCTCCTGCTGAGACTGGCGCCCACCCCCTGGGGCCCCCACAGTGCAGAAAATCAGCACGGAGTGTGCACCTTGAACCAGAGAGACTTCTCAGCCCAGGACAGCTTTGGCCCCAGGGAGCGTCCATCCCTGTGAGGAGCACATGGCAGAGGGAACCGTGTGCGGGCTCCCAGAGGTCAGACGTGGGGGCAGACCCCTCCTCCTAGTCTGTTCAGCCAGGAGGTCCTGCTGGGGAGGAGCCAGCAATTCTCGCCTTTCAGGAGATGCGCCCTGTGCTTCGGCCATAGCCTGCCTGGTCCCTCCGGGGGACTTTGGAACCCAACCCAAGTCTCTCATCTCAGCAGCCAAGGCACCCCAGGCTCGAAGCTGCAGTGACAGCCCAGACCTGCCTGGGGGTCCTGGGCATTGTGACCTCAGCTGTGCCCCACACAGAGGCGGCCGTCCCGCCCTTTCCTTGGCCTGTAGTCAGCACAGGACAGTGGCCTGGTCACAGGCCGGTCGTGGGGAAAGAACACTCTGGCCTCCTCCATCATGTCGGCCAAGAGAGCAGGACTGAAGAAAACAAACCCGGTAAAGGAGACACAGCTGCACCTCCGAGCTCCCGCTGAGTGGGGAAAGGGGGTGGGCCGGGGTGCAGGGTCTGCCTGATGAATCCTTAGCTTATTTCATCTGTCCTGAGCATGAAGGGGCCTCTTGGCCTGGAAGGAAGGTGGGGTGACTCCTGGCCTTGGGGTGGGACGGAGAGGGGCCTCCGCTGACTCAGGACACAGGGCACCGAGCCACACCCAGGCCACTCTGGGGACGTGACCCCACGCCAGGCCTATGCCAGGCCCGCATCTCATGGCCTGTCTCAGGTGTACAATTACAGAGCCATCCCCACTTTACAGAGGAGGAAGTGGAGGCCAGAGAGACTGAACTTGCCCACCGGCCGGTAGGGAGAACAGCTAAGATTAGAACCGAAATGTGTGCACCTGAGGCAGTGCTCGCATGGCCTCCCGACGGCTCCCTGGAAGTGCTTCCCCGCCCAGGCAGGCCTGGGGGATGGGGTCTGGGGGGAGGGGGAGGGGGAGGCAGGCGCATGCTCATCCACATGTGTGATAGCAGGACAGAACTGAGCTGTCTTGCCTGGGGGCTTAGGGGACATGCAGGCCCAAGGTCTAGCACAGCTGGACAGGCAGGGCTGGGCGAGGGCTCCTGCAAGCGGGGGAAGCCTCCCAGCCGGGGTACCTGACGGGCGGAATCCCCACTGCCCTTCTCTGCAGAGCAAGAACTACAAGGCCGTTTGCCTGGAGTTGAAGCCGGAGCCGATCAAAGTAAGAAGCCGTTTTGAGGCTGTGCTGGCAGCCAGCCGAGAGCCCTGGGGAGGTGACTTGGAGTCAGGGGTCATTCTCTGTTGCTGGTGGCCAAGACCTGTGCCAGGGGCTGGGGCTCATTGAGAGACAGACGAGCTCCCCGCTTGCATAGAACATCACACTAATAACTAATCAGACACATACACAAATACGAAAAATCCAGTAGTGTCACCGCCGTACAGAGGAGTGACACAGGGAGCCCGGACAGGAAGGCTGCGGCAGACGGGGTCAGGAAAGGCCTTCCTCTGAGCCGGGGGCTGGAGGACCTGACTCCGGCCCCTTGGAGGCACGGTGGGCAGGGGCGGGCAGAGAACGCAGGGGCCTGGGGCTCAGAGCTGAGGCCCCGGGGGGCAGTGGGGTGGAGGAGCTCAGAGAGAACTGAAGGGTGGAGGTGAGGCCACCAGCTGTCACCTGTCTCCCCTGGCCCAGAGGGAGACACAGAAACTGGGGGGATCCCTCCTGCCCTACCTACCCCACAGCTGCGATTTCCAGCACTCTGTGCTTCTGGTTTTAATCAACAGACATGTGACTACAAAGGAATTAAACCAGAAGGGCCATTTACCAAAACGGGGGGTACTCAGGAGCTAAAGGTAAGCGTGTGAACCCAGGCGGTAGGGTGGGATCGGCCCACTGAAGGGGGGTTGCGACAGGGGTGGGGGCGGGGTGCAGCAGAACAACGTCCATTGGGAAGAACTGTGGGTAACAACGATTGTGCTTTGGGCCCTGTGACTTCGTTCCCTCAGGTTCTTTTTGTTTGTTTCTTTTAACTCTTCATTTTGAAACAATTTCGGACTTACAGAAAACTTTTAAAAATGGCACAATGAATTGTAGTGTCCTGTCCCCCAGATTCCCAACTGTTGGCATTTTATCACGGTCCTCCCCATATATATATATACCTCACAACGGTTAGTTTCCTGAACAGTGAGAGGGCATGCTTCTCTCAAATTTTAGTGTGAGTTTCCTAAAAACAAGAACACTCTGTTATATGGCCACGGCAAAATTCTCAAAATATTAAAATCAGGAAATTAACATCGATACTCCACTCCTCCACAGCCCTTATGCTAATTTCAACCATTATCCACTGATATCTTTTGTGACAAAAGAAAAAAACAGCTTTTTTTTTTTTGTCTGGGACCCAACCTGGGATCACACGTGCATCCAGGTTCCGGGTCCCTTTCGCCTCCTGACATCTGGAACTGTTCTTCAACCTCTGTCTCTTGGGACAGTGACATTTTTGAGGCCTGCAGACCGTTCGCTTTGTGGAATGACCCTCACTTTGGGCCGCCTGTGCCTCACAGAAGAATCGGAGGCACCCAATGTCTGCACGTCCCTCCACCCTGTTAGCTCCCTTTCTGTCCTCCCGAATGGGACGTGTCTCTCTGTCCCTCCCCTGGCAGGGTCCCTTCCATCCGAGACATTCTTTACTCCTTCTCTTCCCTCCTTTATTTCCTCAGAATGAACTCAGAGAGGTGAAGGAAGAGCTCAAGGAAAAAATGGAGGAGATAAAACAGGTAACGGGATGAGACTTCTCAGAACTTGGAGGTAAAGGGTGTCTTCCAGGAAAGCTCAATGTGTAACTCTGAGCAGCGACAGACATCAGGAATTTCATGGAAAAACCTCTCGAAGGAGCTCTGCCCAGGCCTCTGCGTGTCAGGCAGCTCAGGATTATCTATCTCTTACTTGTCCGATGGGTAGACCCAGTGTTTGAATGCTAAGGACTCTCTGAGGGGTCTTATGGGTGAGGTTGGGAAGACACATATAACATTGGCGGGGGGCACTGATTGGAATTTGGGGGCAGCCAGGGACCAGTTCAGTTCTTCTAGTCACATGCCCCGAGTAAGCGGCAGGGCCACACCTCTCTTCCTGCCTGTTTGATGGCATCACCTGGAGCACCCGCAGGGAGAAAGGGGTGCTCCAGCGAGAAGGCCCAATTGGCGCTGTGGTCTGAGCTCCGCAAGAAGCCTGGGGGTAGGTCCAAGTTCGGCCCAGGCTGGCGGTGGTGGTCACTTTCTGGTACCTGCACCCCTGGTCCCTTCATTGGCCCCCTGGGGAAGAACGCGGCTTTAATAGGCCGTGATTGGTCTATTCCACGAGCTTCATCCAGCTCCCTCCAGCAGGCAGCTGCTGCCCTTGACTTAGCACGCCTCCAGAGTGACTCCACAGTCGGTGATGTGCCCTGTGCCTTTCTTCCTTGTTAGATAAAAGATGTAATGGACAAGGATTTCGATAAACTGCAGGAATTTGTGGAGATTATGAAGGTAAGCATTGACTTGAGTGCCTCCCCTGGGCCAGCACCAGACTAGGATTCTGGAAAGAGACATCAGACCAGGTCCCAGACTCTACTGCAAGAAAGAATGAACACATGAGTGACGGGCTAAATGATAATAGGATGTCAGTTCATCGAGAGTTTAGAGCAGTAAGGGAGGAATGTGGTCTGCGGTAACCAGAAAGGTCCTTCTCGGGAGAGGGCATCTCCAGGTGAGCTTGGAAGGCTGCATTAGAAGCTGGATGCAGACCTAACCAAAAGCCCAGTCAGATTATTTCTGAACTCAGTGGTCACTAGGAGGGTCATCAGGTTTGGGGATCATGGTTCGCAGACTTTGCTGCGTTTCAAAATCACCAGAACAAATAAGGAAAAGAGAGCTCAGGTCCTCTGCTTTTATATTATTTTAAAGTTTTTAAAAATTTATTTGTATTTTAAATTTTATTATTACTATTTAATCCTCACCCGAGGACATGTATTTATTAATTTGAGAGAGAGAGGAGGAAGGAGAGAGAGACATCGATCAGTTGCCTCCTGTCCACGCTCCAACCGGGAATGGAACCTGCAAACCTTTCGGTGTGAGGGACAATGCTCCAACGGACTGAGCCATCTGGCCAGGGCGAGCCCAAGTCCCATTTGGATAGGTCTTGTAGCCTTGGATTTTTCTCCCAGTCTCCAGGTGAAAGTTTGAGAGCCACCAATGGAGAAGCATAAACGGCAAAAGCAGATACCTATAAAATTTCCAGAGTAGTAGCTACCCCTACAAGGTATTAAAATTCACCCAAAAGCCACAACAATCAAATCAAGGTTATCCTTCAGCCCAAGGATAACCAGCAGAGAAAACCCTGGAACAGCTTTTCTGCTGGGGTTGCAATGATCATACCTGTGAGGCTTTCTAAGGTTCACACTCCCAGGCCCGGGCCCAGGTGGACCAGTGGGAGCAGATACTTCACACTCGGAGTGGCAGTGACATTTGCCACTGGAGAGAGCGGGGCCCTCAGCACTGCAGCTGCGCCCAGGCGTTGCCTGCACTGGGACTCGGACCTCCCTGTACCCAGGCTGCGCCCCAATACCGCACCAGAACCCCTTGGGGTGAGGTCCGGGTCAGTGGTTTTTCAAGTGCCCCTTGTGATTCCATTGTATGCTCTAGTTTGGGAACCTCGGCTCTGTAAAATTTAAAATAGGAGAAAGATGGTTTTTTAAAGGTCAGTGAGAAGGGAAGTGTTATGTAATAATATTAACCTTGCATATATGAAGAGAAAACTTAATTCAGTCAATTCTGAATTGACTGAAGCTGGAAGAGTCTACAAAGTGAATTTAAATGCTAAAAACCAATAAAAAGAAAGTATATGTAATAAGTATTTAACCAGAGGTTCTAAGCATGATACAATGGAAGAAATCACAAAGGAAATATTGGTATATTTAACAATTATGAAGATTGAAATTAGAACAGAACAGCCTCATAAACAATTAAAAAGAAAACAATAGTTTTGGAGAAACTGATTTTTCACAAACACAGGATAGACACAGACACAAAGTTTTTTATCTGTAATGTGTGGAGCTCACACAAATCGGTAAGAACCAGATAGAAAAATGGGGAAAGAGCAGGAACAAAAAATCCACACAAGAGAATATAACTAAAAAGCAATAAACATTAAAAGAGTTTACCTTGGGAGTAATCCAATGAATGCAAATGAAAACAATAATTAGATAAGTGTCACATTTGAATAAGCAGTTTTAATCTATGATGACTACAGAATAAGATAGGAATGCTCAGTACTGCTGATCAGAGTTCAAATTTGTAAAACACTGAAAAAGGAGCCCCAGTGGGTCAGGCATCATCCCACAAAGCAAAAGGTCACCGGTTTGATTCTGGTCAGGGCATGAGCCTGAGTTGCAGATTCTGTCCCCTGACCAAGACGGGGCCCAGACGGGGCCCAGACGGGGCCCAGACGGGGCGTATACGAGAAGCAACCAATCAGTGTTTCTCTCTCATATGGACGTTTCTCTCCCTCTCTTTCTTCCTCCCTTACCCTCTCTCTAAAATCAAAATCTTTTTAAAAAAAGTGTTGAACCCCCTAGACTCATCAATTTCACTTCTTAGAATTTAACCTCTAATATGATCAAAAAGTGCCAGCATGGATGGATGTACATGTACATGTGTATACCACACACATACAGTAGAATACACTGGAAAATAACCACAATTTTAACAGTAGAGAAAAAGCCAAATAAATGATGTTATATCCATACAATGAAAATCGGGAACTATTAGACAGCATTTAAAAAGAACACTTATAATGAGAAGTAAAAAAAGCAAGATACAAGTAATGTATACAAGCTGACCTCACTTCAGTGGGAAAAAAAAAACAACAGGTAAATGAACATAGAGAAAAAGACTGGGAAGAACGAGACCCAAAGGATTGTTGCTGTTTCTAGGTGATGGTAATTTCTTCTTTTGTGTTCCTCCGTATTCTGCAGATTTTCTGCAAGGGCAGTGCTATTTCCATAGTGAAATGCAAACACAGGGTGGGGGGCCGTTGGTGAGTAGGACTGGGCAGCGGAGGCAGGAAGGAGGCTATTTTGGGCCCGGGCACAGCTTGCGCACAGCATGGAGGCAGGAGGAACGTGGAGCGCGTCACCGTCAGCAGGGAGATCTGTCTACAAAGTGGGGTCACTTGGGGAAACTGAAATGAAATGGACGGGGCACCGAGGCAGGGGGGCGGGAAGGCTGCTAAAAGGTAGACAGACGCGTTGGGACTTGGCCGTGCCAGCAGCCAGGGGCCTCTGGAGGTGCTTCATCAAAGAACATGCCAGCAGCAGCATTTCATAAAGCTGCCGGGCAGCTGCTTGCTAGGCGGCCTTGGCGCCCAGGGGAGCAGGTGGGGGTCACCTGGAGCAAAAATATCAGACAGGCAGCCGCATCCGGCTCAAGGCGGAGAAAACCCGGCCAGGTGTAGGACAAAAGGAAAGGGTGAGTCAGATGCATTGAAGGGAAAACAGCATTCTGGTGACCAATTCCATGCAGAGAAAGAAAGAGAGGCCACCAGCTGTGAGAGCACCAGAGCTTTAATCTGTGTGATTAGAAGACAGTGGTGACGATGACAAGGGTAGTCAGGAAATAGAAGTAATTTAGAAGAGAACCTCAGGGGGTCAGTTGGGACCTGAGGAGTTAGAAATGACGGCCAGACTTGTCAGAATATGGGATGTTTTGACTCTGGTGCTTTGGATGCAGGAGAAATTTTGACTTCAAGCATATTTTGACTCTACTTCTGGTCGTAAATATTTTATTCAAAATTTAAACTAATGTTTCAAACTGCTTTTCACGGTGTTTTTTTTGAAATCATCTTCACCCAGACAATATAATTTTTTGATCAAGTTTTTACCACAGTTCAGTAAACTTTGATTTTTTTAATTACAATTATTTTCCTTGAAGCAAATTATTTTCAGTTTACATGTTATAATATTTGACCCAACCTTGTTATGCCCATTACTGTCTATGATAGCATCTGCCATCTTAGACTCTCTTTAGGGACTACTTATTATTCCTACCCAACTTTCCCAGGTCACATTTATAGGCCTACACTTTGCCAGGAAGATTTTGCCACTTTTCAGTTCCTAGTAAATCGTAACAGGTGAGGGGCCATTTGAGCTACTGCCAGTTTCATTTCGTATTTACCATTTTTGCCAGGAACTGGGTAAAAGATGGAGCGAACAAACACACTGGATCCGGGTGCGTGTTGGGGGGTCAAAATGTTGGCGTCAAAGCGTCTTTTGCAGGGTTGGGGGGCGTCACACGGTTGCCTGTCTTGGTTCTGCCATTGCAAGCCTGGAGCCAAGGCGGATAACGGTTTCATCCGAGTGTGAGTGAGAGTTCAGGCGAAACAACTCCTAGTCTCCGACTCACCTGGGGACTTTGCACAAGCCCCTAGGGACTCTACCTGTTGCTCAGCCCCATCATGGAAAGGGGGAGGTGGCCCATGTCAGGTACACCCTGAAAGCCACCGTGCCCGAGGCCAGCGGGCATTCCTCGGAAGTAAGGTGCTGAGGCGTGATCTCTGAGTGGAGGAGAAAGGGGGTCCAAAGGCCCTTCAGGACGTAGCTTCTCACTTTGAATTCTCTCTTGAAGGAAATGCAGAAGGATATGGATGAGAAGATGGATGTTTTAATAAATATACAGAGAAACAACAAGCTGTAAGTATAACCCTCACCCTCTCTCCTCATCCCTAAAGAATCTTCCCCTTCACTTCGCTAATTGTCCTCGGGGTTCAAGGACTTTCAGACGCTTCAAGGAGCTGTCTTGCTGTCTCTGGCCCCAGTGGCTGGGAGTTAAGGCCGTCCCTGGCCACCTGTGCTGCCGTGATCTCCTTGTCATGTTGGAAATTGTCTCCCCATCTCCGCCCCTCCCTGACTGCCCAGTCTGCTTAGAAGAGGACCAAAGGACCATCAGGGCCTCAGGCTGATAGGAAAGCCTGACATGGACTCACATCTCCGGCTCAGGAAACTGGAGGGAGCTGACGGAGCATCGCTGGCTGTTCACAAGAAGCACACGGCGCTGCAGAAGCCCAAAAAAGACCCGCTGGGTTCCCTCCATCAGTGTGGGACCTGCTGTGTGAGTGAAGCCTGCCCCGCCCTGCTCTGCTGGGGAGCTGCCCCCAGGGCTCCTGCCCCTCCCTCTCCTCCCCTGGGCCTCTCCACTCACCCCGGTACCTCTAGCAGTAAGGGAAGCGGCTGCAACCCTCTGCAGGCCCTCTCTGGGGCCTTGCCCGCTAGGCCTGGGACATCCAAAGTCATGAGCAAGCAGGACGCAACTCTGGATGTGCCTGCCCCCAAGTGCCACTGTATTTGTTCTGTCCTTTCCTGTAGCCAAACTTGACGGGGTGCCCAGCAGTCTGGCCATCTTGGACCAGGGAAAAATGATCTTTCTTGTGCCGTTTCTGTCCTCTACAAGAGACATGTTTGTTGTGTGCCCTAAAGAACAGCTACAATCAGGGGTAGGTGGATCCAGGCGAGACGTGCCTTGTCTCAGTCGGGCGTCCGGGGGTCCCAGAGGCAGTGCGGCGCTCAGGCCAAGTTCGCATCAGGCCTCGCCTGTGCCCCTGCAGACTCCGCCCCCACCACCTCCCCGCAGTCTCAGAGGAGGCTGGGCCCCAGCCCGAGGGCTCCCGTGGAGGGGCCGGTGCCTTGCCAGCGGCTGGCCTGCCCTCGCCTCAGGTGTCTGCCTCCCCCCTCTGGCAGGACACCTTCACGCCAGGCCTGGGCATCTTCCTCATCCTCTGCATCTGGAGCTGCTTTCTGGTGTATGTGTACTTCAACCTCCGCGTGACCGAGGAGGACATGCTTCCCACTTAGCACCGCACCTACTGGAGCTCCGGTTCGCCCTCTCCCCACTCCTTGAGCCGCACAGCGAAGGCTGTGGCCCCCCCCCTTCCATCCCAAGCCGCCCCGGGCCTGGCTCCACCTGAATTAAAAGCTTCATCGAAATCTGAAGGGGGTGTCACCAACCTTGAGTGTGCAAAGGGTGTTACTTTCTTGTTCTAAATCTGCGTATTTCAGATTCCAACCCCCTGTTCCTGGTCATCCTGGAGGGTTATTCCCTGCAAAACACTATCTGTCTCTCGACTCTACCTCGTTCTGCAAAAGCCGCAGGTCGGAAGAGAGGGGAGGCCCCGAATATATCAGACGCCTTTCTGTCTGGTGACAGGAGACACCCCCACTGCCCTGTCTACCCCCTCCCTCCATGTCCTTGCCTCCTGCATTGTGTGGGTGCGGGGGGAGACCCAAGACTTTGGGGCAGTGTACGGAGACCTCAGACCCAGGGTCTAGCGTACAGGAGGGCTCAGGACCTGGTGCTCGCAGGTGCCCTGGGGCTCTGAGGATCCACCCTCCTTACCCTCTGGCAGGTCTCCTCCCTCCTCCCCCACCAAAAGGATACAGATCCCTTGAGAGGCCTAAGGCCTTTGCAAAGGCAGGGGAGAGCACTTGACCTCCAATGGGGCACTCTGTCCTTGCCCCAAGTCCTGGGCAGAGGAGGCTTGGTTGCCAGCTTGAAGCGAGAGTCAGGAAAGATACAGAGGAAGCAGGGTTTCAGTGAGCCATTCTGCCTTGGGTGTGATTCTTGGCTCCAGTCCGATGGAGGATGAATTCATGGGATTTCATACTTTATTTTGCAGTAGCTCTTGCTTGTTTCATCTCTTTGCCAGGCTGGCCGCTTCGACTTCTAGACACTGTAGTCAATAACCGATCAAGTACTTCACTGCTACATAGTGATGAGCGATGTACTGGGCACTGCAGACATACATTTAAAAAACAGACAAAAACCAAAAAAACGCAGAGGCCTTGCCCTCAAGGAGCTCATAGTTTCAAAGGAGATGATAAACATGTATATTAAAGTGTGAACCGTAAGTAAATAATCTCGAGGATCATAAACATGCAATGAAAGCAGAGGTGGGCAGGAGGGGGAAAGAGAGGAGGGTGGGTGGGTGCAGCCTGAGTCATTTCCCTGCTGCTGTCCCGGAGGGCCACACATCTGGTGGCCGAAGACGACTCAGAAGGGGCCTCTCTGGGCTGAAACCCAGACGTCGGCCGGCCTGCACACCTTCCGGAGGCTCTGGGGAGGGTCTGTTTCTCTGCCTTTTCAGCTCCCGGAAGCTGCCTGCACTCCTTCCCAGGCCCCTTCCACCCTCAGAGCCAGCAATGGCCGGGCCGGCCTTTCTCATTCTGCATCTCTGACACCGGTTGACACTGGTCTTCCCCGGCCACCAGCGCCCACGTTTGAGACCCCTGTGGTTGTGTAGGTCCCGCCTGGTAGCAGCGGACACTCTCCTTGTGTTAAGGTCAGTTGCTGAGCAAATGTCTTTTCCTTTGCTGCATAACAGAACGTATGCACAGGTTCTAAAACACGGCATCTTCAGGGGCTCTTATTCTGCCTATCGCAAGGGACTCACCAGACGCTGTCACTTGACTACCACACCCTGCAACACTTGGGGGAACACCTCACTGCTCAGTTCTGTGCTGCAGTGTTTTCAAGTAGCCCCACTAACTACTTGATGCTCTTTCAAGAGGAGCCTAAACCCGCTCCCCTGAGTGAGAGTCAGACATTCTGACCTGCTTCTAACAACCTGCATATGGCAGACATGATGGCGTGTGGCTCCCAAGACGAGGTTGGAAAAGACATGCCCGCTTCCACCGTGCTCTCTCTCAGACACGCATTCCCAAAGGGAATCTGACTGGGCAGGTTGGGCTGGCTCCCCACCTTGGTCTGATCAGCTGGGCTCTGTGGCACGAAGAAGTGGGGGTGCAGGCTGGGGAGACACCCCCCAAGAGTCTCTGTACCCGGGACAGGAACAGCATCTCTGGCAGAAGAGACAAGATTAAGTGTCATTCTATTGCAGGTGAGATGACCTTGAGACCTGCAGGAAAAAGCACAAGCTCTCCAGCAAAGCTGGCTCACATGCAGCATCCGCAGGAGTGACGGGCGGTGGCTTCCCGAAGGTCCATCCCCAAGGATGACCGGTTTGACAGCCAGGCAGACCTGTCCCCTCAACACACACACACACACATGCACACACACTTGTTCTTCTGTTGCCTCTGGTTGAATGGTGTGAAACTCAGGCACTGGGGAGCTTGGGAAGGGGCCAGGGCCAGGGCCAGCCGAGACCACTGCCCCCAGTCCTAGGGCTTGACAAACACCACAGGGTCATTTGCACAAAGACTCAATGGCTCAGCACATCCTGGCAGCTCTGGGTCCCTGAGGACTGTGTCTTAGTTCTTCAAACTGGCAGCTGCTGAGATTTGGAAACACATGGGGGGCAAGGTGGCCCCGACATCGAGTGTCCAGAGCTGCCCTCGTCAGGTCTTCCTCATCCCACGAGCCAGTGTGCACACAGGTCACAGCTGGGTGTGTGCGTTTGCAGACAGCATCCGGCCTGGAAATCTGGCTGGCCAGGGAAGTTCACCTGGGAGCATCCCCACCTCCCCAACGCCTGCTTGGTCCTGCAGGGACCCACGTGGGAAGAGTCCCCTACTGACACTCAGGGACCTTTAGGCATGTCCACAGCACTAAGGGGACCCACAAGTCCTGAGGGGTCAAGAGGTCCAACAGGGAAGGGAGCAAAAGTTCAGGCAACAAACATTTCTTGAGAGCCCACCAAGGCCGGGCTCGGACCTCCATGCTGAGGATGAAGCTGCAGACAACACAGGTCCTGCCTCTAGACTGCCACGCTGCATGGAGAGGACAGACTGGTGCAGGCGGCACCTGGTGAGGGGGTGGGGACTTCCCTGAATGCCCAAGTGGCGCAGCACTTGAAGGGCTGTGTAGAGGCAGAGGGCGGTCCAGCCGGGGTGATGGGGGCGTCAGGGAGGTAAAAGGATGGGGTGAGCAAAGGCAAGGGCGTGGGGATGTGAAGGGCACAGCTGGGACCTTAGATTACAGGTTTGCAGATGGGGATGGGGGCAGGGACGCCGGAAATCTGAGCTCAGACCTGACGTGCAGGGTCTTGAACAGCAGCAGGCTGAGGAGTTTGGTTGGGATCCCATAAGCAGCAGGCACTGGGTAAGATTTTTGAGCAAGGCAGGGAGTTGGAGTGGAAAGCAGGGGTTAAGGGCTGAGCACCTGGAAGGGGCGTGCCCGATAGGTTCCCTCGGGCGGGGGAGGAGGAGCCACAGGAGTGGAAGAAAGTGGACAGAAACTCTTACAAATGTCCGGGATCCGGATGCTGAGAGCCTGAGTCAGGGTGTGTGTGGAAACTGGGGGGTCAAGAATGAGCGCCGGAATGTTATAAAGATGCATGGGAATTGGCAGCTCGGTTGCCCTGGGAGGGACAGAGAAAATGTCCAACTTGAGTGCCTGTGTGTTACCGAGGCCAGAAACTGGGGGCGTCAGCCATGCGGCCGCACAGGCGCCAGGCATCAGTGGTGGGCGGTGAATGAACTCCGTGCTGTCTCTGCCCGTAAGGACCGCCCCTTTTCTTCTCTCGTCCCTGGCTCTTCCAGGAAAGGTCCCGAGAGCCATCAAGGAGACACGTCACAGATGGCGCTACAGACTCCAGTGAGCCTGTGCTTTTTCTGGAGGCCTCAATGTCCCCTCCTGGGGAAGGGAATTTTACTCAGCGCTGTCTCTTCTGCCGAAGGTGCCATCCCTGCCCTGCCCTGCCCTGTGTACAGAGCCTCTGGAGGGCTGGGCCCCCACTTCTCTGCGCTAAGGAACCCAGCCGATCAGACCAAGCTGGATATCCAACCCCAGCTGCTCCACCAGGTTTCTCTCCCTGGGAATCTGGAATGGGAGTTTGGCGAGACTCAGCAGAGCCCCCAAACAGGGGCCGCATGATTGGGAGCTAGAGAGGCATCGGCAACCACTGGCCAACACAGCAGAGAAAGCTGATCTATAGAAAGAGAAAACCAGTTGGCAGAGACAGAGAATGAAGCGGGGAAGCTGAGAGTAGAGACCCACGCAGCCCCAGAGCGGGGGTGGTCTCGGTCTGGCCCCAGCCCAGCCCTGGCAGTGTGAGAGCCCCAGACACCTGGCTGAAGTGCCCGAATCTGTTTAATCAGAGTGGCTTTCTGCCGCCACCAATCAAGCCTGAGCTAAGAATCTCGGAGACCGTCTGATCCAATCTCTGCCACTTACAGTGACAGTCTGCGGCCCAGAGAGGGGCAGTGAGGTGCCCACGGCCACACAGCCAAATGGAAGCAAAGCCAGGACCGGAGCTGGGTATTCTGACTCCAGCCCTGTGCTCTTTGCCCCCTTTGCTCTGTGGCTCTCTGGGGCCAGTGGCACTGCCCAGGGGAGGGAGGTGAGGCTGGGGCACAGAACTGGGGTCAGCCGGGTCTGGAACAAGCCAGTAAGCCTGGTGCAGCCGCAGTAAATCCCTTCACCTCTCTGAGACTCAGCGTTCCCATCTGGGGATAATAACCCCTAATCCACCCTGGGTTGTGAGGGCTCAATGAGAGTCCAGGCAGAGGAATTCGGTGTTTTGAAATGCCATGGCAACGATGAT